TGCGTTTGGTGCCTCCCCGTGCCTTACGTAGTGTGCGACGCGCAGACTCGTATTCCAACTGTCATAGAGCAAGTTATGTGACCTGAATAAGGCACCGCGCAGGCAGGAGCGATCGCGGGCGGCGGTACGGAAGGTACTTGCAACCCAAAGTGGAGGAACGCTAAAAAGGGGAGCAACAGACATCGCAACTTCGATCTGAGATGCAACACCTGAGAGTGCTTCTTCATTTTCAAAGGCAAGCAAGATACATACGACACACACAAAGTGAATAGCCCCGTCAATGTACTGTACATCGGCATCCTTTCCCCGCTGCAATGTCCGTCGCTGAGCACCACTTGATACATCGCCTTCCGCATGCAAGCCGAACCAATCGCGGAAGGGAGACCATTAGACAGTAAGTGTCCAAGACACGCAAGCTGAAGATACGTTGGTTGTCTCGGTTCGGTTGTAGAGGCGATGTTGGTAGAAAGAGGGACCGGTAGAAAAGAAAGCGCAAACAGAGTGACAACATGGGTTAGGAAAGGAAATCATACGAAGCATACAAGTCATGCATCAACAGCCAGAAGGCAGGTTCTTGTCCTGCTTTGATTCGTTCCTTTTCGTTTTTTTCTACTGCTCTTGCTACGGCATTCCAATTTATTCCGTCAAAGGCGCATGCCCATACTCCGTCACCGTGCATGCTCCAAACGCAAGCACTGAGAAGGTGTGCATCCCAATCCCGGCAACAGTCGAAAAAGGGGACCTGTTCCTGAATATACTGCCGTCTTTTGTCGCCTTTGATAGGATAAAGTTAATTGCCCGCTCTGCTTTTCTTGCTTTAATGCCGAAATGACTGGCGCGCGGATAGCTTTCAAACAAGGAGTCGCAATCTACTGTGTATTCCTGTCCATGCGGGCCTCTTGCACGTCTGCAACCTCCTGTGGGTCGATATTAACATATATGTAGGCACTTTTGTCAAAACTGTCGATCGCTGCGGGAGGCTGCCGGATGCGCAGACAGTGTGTATGGTGTGGGAGGGGGAACAGACAGGGCTGACCCCGGGCACGGGAAAACGTGTGAATACATGGGTGGTGCACAGGTTAAGATATCTTACTAATTTGCACTTGCAATGTCAAAATGATGCGTAGGTTGTCGTTCTGAAGGTTGCCGTTTCAGTTTGTTTTCATTGATCACTTTCGGTTTACCTGCCCTTCCTCCCAAAGGTGTTGAGTGCTGAGTCAAAGCGAGACAAGAAACGATTGATACAGAGACAAAGCAAGACAGTAGACGATCCTATCCTAAAGCGAACAAAATTGGGCTCCAAAAGGGTATTTAACCATGTGGAAAGGCTCGACAGGCTCCGGACAGCAAGGCGTGGCATCAAACAGGTTTGGAATGCCAGGAACAACAGAAAGTACATGTCGCTGAATGGAATGGAGAACTCCAAGCATGCTACTTGTCTGCTCCGATCTTTGCGTGCTGAGCAAACGTGTCGGCGGGATATCGTGCACAATTCTCTGCGTGCTGGTAAATGCTTCGAAAGCCGCTCAATGCATGAGGTATACAACGGGCGGATTGATGCTTGCTTATTTCCCCGCTATATTGGGACGGCGAAGACGATGTATGCCGCTCCAGGCCAAAACAGGTGAACTTCCACCACTGTGGCTGATGGGTGAGCATTTTATTCTTCTTGCTCGCAGAAGAAGGAGTGGAAAGGTGTGTGGGTATAATTGCCAAGCATACTTTACTCCGCAGGTTCCCGGACCATTGCGGAGCGTGCCAACTCCGTAGATCTGCCGTCCGAAGCTGAAGTGGCCTAAACCATGGAAAGAGGGCAAGCTGTGGCCTCACAATCGAAGAGAATTTTGCAATTTCACGATGCGAGCTCAGCTACATCCAAGTTCGGTCTTGGTCTGGTTGAAACTTGAGTTTTTATACCATCTTTGGAATGGCTCTCGACGTATTCGATATACTACATGCTCGTCCACTTGGGCCACTTTATCACATCGGGTTGTTTTAAACGAGAAAAGTAAGATTACGGGCGTGCGTCCAAGCGACCAGCGGCAGACAGGAACTTGAAAACGTGTGGTACACGAGTCCCGAGCAAGTTGAAGGAGTACACCATCACAACCACAATTTATTTTTTTAAAAAAGACTCCCATATTTCAACGACCAAATGATATTTTCTCCCTGATCTTGTTAGTAACACAAAGCAAACTGCAAGGACAGACGATGAACTCCAATGGTAACTAACCGGACGACAAAGTCAAGAAATTAACAGATCTAAGAGAAAAGAATCCATTTGGCACATCGATCGACCCTGTTTTTCTGTGATCTTCCTTCCGATCGTAAACAGGGGGTGTGCAAAAGCCAAGTCTCCTTTTACTAGGCAGGTTTTCAGGGGTTCATCCAGCTAGCAAAAAGGAGGAACAATGAAAGAAATTCCATGTGCGCGGCGCTGTTAAGAACAGCTCCAGTCGAAGTAAATAGGGCCATTCGTCACATTAACAACAGATGCAAAAACGTATGACGAGCAGAGCCAGCGAAAAAAAAACGAAAAAAAACGACTTTGGATAATCACAACAAACAAGCAGGGACAAATTAAAGTGCATGCAGGGGAGTAGCTACAAGTCCCAGCCGGCTAGCGAATTCGGGGTCGAACTGATGAGCAGATGTGCTGCCAGGATACGACAGGAAAATAGGTGAGAGATCGGCAAATATTGAAAATTGATCGAGGCATCGCGTCGTTTAACTCTCTACACGAACGGGGGGCATCCCTGGCGAGCTGAAAGGCGACAATTGCACCAAGGCGCTGGGAACCGCTGCTGGGAACGACGCCAATTACGGCGTTGATTGTAGCCATGCCACCATAAAAAAGCACTGCAACAAAAGAAGCCTTGGTTGCGATCGACAACCGGTGCATGCAACGAACAATATTCTCGGCGTCGGTAGACATCGAAGTGGGTTTTTATTTTTCACAGGCTAGATTTTGCATTTTCAAAAGACGGACACGTAACTCGAGAACAAACTCGCGGGGAAGGAGGCGCACGAATGGGCAAAGTGACAGTTTCGTCCAAGGTCCCCAGGTCAGTGGACTAGTCAGGAACAGAGGCCATGGAATGGGCCGGTTGTGACGAGCCGGCGTCGGTCGGGCAAACTTGAACGTGACAGGTTGTACGTCGTACAAGGGCGAGAGGCATATGACAAGAAACGAGGACGTAGCAGTCTGTGCGACCGCGCTGGTTAAGCCGACGGTGAGATCTTGAGGGTTTTCTCCGTGGGCACAAACGGGGAACGGAACGATACAACAACGACGTCCCTTGCACATCGACAAAGACCAAAGAAAAAGGAGCCTTGGCCACCACGTCCGTTGCCGCCTGTCTCTCCCTACCTCACGAGCTCACCATCCCGTCTGCAGCGCGGCGCCCTTTTGACTCCCTTGCGCCAATGCTTAATTTAGGACTCGTACGAGAGGGACTTGTATCAAGATAATTTCGTTTTTTTTGGTGCATGTTGCAACCTCCCGTTTGCCCCTTGCAGCGGGAATGTTCAGACGAAATAGATCCGGCGGAAATCAAGAAAGTCTGCCACTAAAATGTCTCAGTCACGTATAGTCCGAACGGTTAAAGGAAATTACGAGGCAGAAGAAGCAAAACACAAATGAGCAACCACAGCGTTCGTTTGCTTTTTCTACTTGTTTTGTTTTCTACGATCTTGGCCTTTAATTTTGCGTGTGTTTTTTTGTCTTTGTCGCGAACTGTCCTCCGCCGTCCTTTTCTACCATTTGCATTCTCACTGTGCACAACTCTGGCGATCGACAGCTAAATAGAAAGAGACGGAAAACAGCGGCCTGGTCAAAGAAAAGGCACGAGAGACGACGAGGGGACGTGTTTACAGGTGCCATGCTTTGTGCTGTTCTGCTAATTTCGCTCTAGCTCCTGGTTTGAGTCTGTTTCTCTTTACTTCGTGTTGCGGTCCTGACAGACTCTCCGCGCTGTCTCCTGTATTTTTCATCGCCCACGTTGTCTTGTGTCGTTCCCCTGAAACCCGGGCGTCAAAGATGGCAGTGTCCTCGACCATGACCATGTCCCCGTCAACGCATAGCCATGGAGCTGAATATCGGAGAAAAAGCAATTACCTCCCATGGAGTAAGGATGTGCCCCTTCACCGCACCATCATGAGATATCCTGGTGCTGAAAAGACAACCTTGACCTTGCATCAGAGTTGCCTTGTCCATGCAACTTCGGAGCTGTCTAATGAACAGGAAAGTTTACGTTTTGTAGGATTCATATATGTTTAAACTCATCAATTCTTTATTTTATTTTATTTATTTTAATTTTATTTTAATTTTTGAATTTTTGAATTTACGCAAATTATTCCGCACTCAATGGTGACAACCCCAGCCATTGAATAACATCCACACCACAAAGTGTATTGATCGCCTTCATACAAAAAAGCCAACTGTCATCCACCAGTAAATTAAGCATCTCGCGTTGCGCATAGAAGAAGATGATACCAGACCTGGTTCCTTGTAAAAGCCCAAAAATAAATCGTGGGACATGTACTCGGGCTGAGATCGCTTCAGGAAGGCGGTTAGCGCTTTTTCTGCCGGGCGGTGTAGGACAAGTATTGTCTATACCTGAAAATTGAGGCTGGACGTGCCGCCAAAGCTTGGGGCTGCGGATGGGGCCCAATGGGAGTAGGTCACTGCAAGGCTTTGTCAACCTCCTCTGTAAAAAAGTATGAGAGAAGGCAGGCGACCAGCGACCAACGACGAAGCTCACCCGACCACGCATCGTGACGACTAGAGCAACGACCACGACGAGCCCAGCGACCCTGCGACCATTTTCTTTGCTCTTAAGCTCGCGCGACTGCCATCATCTCCCCGAATTGAAGACGCGGCCGACACTCGTCTCCCTTCGTCGGACTCGAATCGCGCTTGGACGCGCTGCAAAACGCTTCAACCAGTCCCTTCACCACCGCCTTTTCCCTCACCCGATATCTCCTATACGCGACCCAGCATGGCCGACGTCAACATCCAGTATGTCCCTCCGAAGCCCCGACCGTATGGAGGATTTGGAACCCCCTCGCCGACGCGTGCCGAGAGGGGCAAACAGCCGCTGACCATCTTTCTTCTCTTTTTCTTCTTCTTTTCCAACAGAGAACTCCTCCAGAAGCCTCGCAACGAGTGCACGTACGTACATCCCCCAATGCTTCCTATACGCCACGACGAACGGACGCCATGCTAACACCTGGCCAGGGAATACGAGATTGCACAGCTCGAGCAGTGGGAGTTTAGCAATGGCCCATTGTCCATCCTGCAGACCGCCGTCCGCACCCACTCCCAGGTCCTCATCAGCATCCGCTCGAACCGCAAGCTGCTGGCCCGCGTCAAGGCCTTTGACCGGCACTGCAACATGATTCTGGAGAACGTGGTATGTTATGGTGTCCTTGGCCACTCGTGCGTCCCTGCCCCAAAACGCGCAGCTGCTAACCCGACATAGAAAGAGATGTGGACAGAGACGCCGATAACCAACGGAAAGAAGGGCCGGCCCGTCAACAAGGACCGGTTCATTAGCAAGATGTAAGCCAACTTCGACGACCGCGGGACAGGACGAGGTGGACACGTCGAGGCAGCAGCGATACTAACCTCCTGGTCTAGGTTCTTGCGGGGAGACAGCGTGATTCTTGTTCTGCTGAGCTGAGTGGGATGGCCAATGGGATGGAGCGGGACTGTTCTTTTACGTGCGCATTTGAATTCTTTTACTTTTTGGTTCTAAAACACTTTATTTGGGAAAAGACCTGGGGAAATTCCATATGTTCTGCTGTACGTTCTGCTGTTCTGCATTTGATGTCATAATTCATATTCATCCGCTTTGTTTCTGCAAAGAATGTGAGGTCTGCAAAGAGTGAGGCGAAGCATGATTGTGAGAAAATGTCATGATAGTACGTCCTAAGTGAACCGATCAAACGAGACTGGAATGTAGGATGGTAAGATGTGAGATTGAATTGTATTTACTTTTGATAAAAAGTGACCATTGTGTTGAGAGGATTTATTTCATTGAATCTGGCATGGCAAAAATGGCCAAAAATGATTGAGAATTCGAAATGGTGCTTCCGTGAAGAAGCGCATCAGGATTTGAGCCCGATGCGGGGGTCGAACCCGCAACCTTGAGATTAAGAGTCTCACGCTCTACCGATTGAGCTAACCGGGCGTTCGATCTCGTTATTGAAGGACGGGCTGGCCTTGTCGAGGTATGAGAAGGCGCTCTTCGGAGGGCCGGGCGGGGAAAGAGAAAACGATTTTAAAATAGTGGCAGATTTTTGTGTGGAAGGAATGATACCGATAGGCACGACGATGGAGGACCGAAGCACGAGTTTTGCGCCTGTGTCTTTGGGCCGTTGTGCCTTTCCATGGTCCCATGATCAGATCTTGTATCAAAACGGTCCATGCACTTGTTATTTTCCCAATGCCCTCAAAACCTCCAATACCCTCAAAGATAAAAAACACTAAATAAAAACCACCACGCTACATGCCACCTGTGCCTGTATATAATTTTGTACTCCCCAACCTTTAATTCTCTGCCTTCTCCGTCTTCTCCGTCTTCTCCTCTACCTTGGTCCCGACCTGGTCCGACAGGTCCATGTCCAGGCCCTTGTCCTCCCGCAGCTTCACCAGCCGCTCCACCACCTGGTCCAGTGACAGCGTCGTGAGGTCGCCCTTGGAGTCGCGGATGCGGATGCTGACGCTCCGGTCCTGCATTTCCTTGGAGCCGAGAACTACAAGGTGTTAGTAGGATGAATCGATTGTAGCCGGGGGGATGGAAGAAATAATAAGAACATGCGACCTACCAAAGATGTAGTTGTACTGCAGCACCTGGCCGTTGCGGATCTTCTTGTTCATGGTGTTGGCGCCGAGGTCCGAGTCGACGTAGAAGCCCTTGGCCTTGAGCACCTTGTGCACCTCGCGCACGTAGTCCTCGGCGTCCGCCATGACGGGCACCAGCAGGATCTGCCGCGGGCTCATCCAGAACGGCCACTTGCCGCCAAAGTGCTCGCTCAATGTGGCAATGAAGCGCTCGAAACTGCCCAGCACGGCACGGTGGATCATGACGGGGCGCGCGTAGCCCGGCGCCAGGGGCAGCACGACAGGGCCGCCCGCCGGGATGGCACCGTCGGCAGGAGCAGCCTCGGCAGAAGCGGCCTCGGCGGGAGCGGCCTCAGCAGCAGCGGGAGCCTCGGCCGGCCGCTCCGCAGGCGTCTCGTCAGCCTTGGCGGCGTCGGCAGGGTTGCTGCTGGCCGCCGACATGTAGCTCAGGTTGAACTGCTGCGGCAGCTGGAAGTCCAGCTGCACAGTGGCACACTGGTGCCACCGGCGCAGGGCGTCCATGATCTGGATGTCGACCTTGGGTCCGTAGAAGGCGCCATCGCCGGGGTTGAGCTCCCACTCGTCGCCGGTCTTCTCGGAGAACTCGTCGAGGGCCTTTTGCAGCGTGGCCTCGGCGCGGTTCCACGTGTCGATGTGGCCGAGGTACTGCTCGGGGCGCGTCGACAGCTTGAGGCGGAACTTCATGCCGAGCTTGCCGTAGACGGTCTGGAGGAAGTCGAACTGGTCGCGGATCTCCTCGCCGATCTGGTCCTCCTGGCAGAAAATGTGGGTATCGTCCTGGATGAAGCGGCGCACGCGCGTGAGTCCCGAGAGGGCGCCCGATGCCTCGTTGCGGTGGAGCACACCAAACTCAGCCATGCGGAGCGGCAGTTCGCGGTACGAGCGTTCTCTGGAGCCGAAGATGAGACAGTGGCCGGGGCAGTTCATGGGTTTTAATCCTGGGAGCTTGTTAGTGGCTGGACAGAAACGTGTACGTTGTGTTTTGGGAGGGGCTTCTTCGTTGGGACGTACCCCACTGCTGCTTCTCAATCTCGAGCGTGAACATGTCCTCCTGGTAGTCTGCAAGCGCGTGTTAGTGTTTTTTTGATTTTGCAATGTTCAATGCAGAGCAAACGCGCCACTTGGGGGCCGTCCTGTACGTACGCTGCCAGTGACCGGACGTGCGCCACAGGTCGGCGTTGAACATGTTGGGCGACATGACCTCGACGTAGTCGCGCTTGTGGTACTCGCTGACGATAAACGACTTGAGTGCGTTGAAGATGCGCATGCCGTGGGGCAGGAAAAACGGCGAGCCGGGCGACATCTTGTGGAAAAAGAAGAGCTCCTGGTCCTGGCCAATGCGCCGGTGGTCTTTCTTGGCGGCCTCCTCCAAAAACTTCATGTAGTCGGAGAGCAGCTTCTTGTCGGGGAACGAGATGCCGTACACGCGCTGCAGCGAATCGTTCTTGGCGTCGCCGAGGAAATACGACGCGCTGTGCTTGAGCACGGCAAACGCCTTGATGCGGCCGGTGTCGACGACGTGGGGGCCCAGGCACAGATCAATGAGCGGGCCGCAGCGGTAGACCGTGGTGGACGTGCCGTCGGGGATCTTGGAGTTGATGAGCACCTGCTTGTACTTGTTGAACTTGAACATCTCCAGCAGGTTGGCCTTGGTCATGACGAGGCGCTCAAAGGGCTGGCGCTCGCGGACAATGCCCTCCATGAGCGAGGCAATGCGCTTCTCGTCGTCGTCGGTGACGGCGCTGTGCGCGTTGGGCTTGCCCTCGCCGTCCTCGGCGGGCATGCCGAAATCGTAAAAGAACCCCTCGTCGGTGGGCGGGCCGAAGCAGAGGTGGCAGCCGAATGTCTTCTCGGCCGCCTCGCCCAGGATGTGGGCGCTCGAGTGCCAGTAGACACGCTTGGCCTCCTCGTCCTCAAAGTCGAGCAGCTCGACGTTGGCGCTGCCCTCAAAGGGGCGCATCAGATCCCACAAGGTGCCATTGACGCGCGAAATGACCGTGCGGTCGGCCAGGGACTTGCTGATGCCGCGGGCAATGTCGTAGGGCGTGGTCTCGTAGGACGTGCCGGCGATTTGGCGGCCGTCGGGCAGGGTGACGGTGATGGGCTCGCGGGGCTTGCTGGCGAGCTCGGCGTCGGCAGCGGCCTTGAGGCGGTCGTAGACAGCGATACGGTGCGGGATGAAGTCGAGGTTCGGCGGCGGGCCGGCGTCGGCCACGACCGGGACGACCTTGGGCGCCTTTACTTTCGGGGCCTTGGGAGGCATCGCAGCAGACGGGGGGGGGACGGTTGGGCGGGGGGGTGTCGAATAGGCGTGGGAGTGAAGGGACAACGCAGGGCCTTGGATGAGTATATAAAGGTCGACGAAGCAATAGACAGAGATCGTGAGATGTGTGAGTCACGGCCGGACAAGGCAAGAGCAAAGCAATGGCAGGGAAGGCGCGGCCGCTGAAGGGGTAAAGGAAAAGAAGGGGAAGGGCAGGTGCGCGGTAGGAACGGATAGGCTCAAAAAAAAAGCGGAAGGAACCACCTATGACTCGCTTCGCAGAAAGAACAGCCAACACACCCTTTTTCCGAAGGGCTGGCGGCAGTAATTTTTGGTGCGGGGCAATTTCAATGGGTGAAGGCTAGTCGTCTGGTAGACAGGAACGGGCGGGCGGGGCAGACAGTTATCTCTTAGCGTATGCGCACAGGGGCAGCGATACGAGAGGGGTGGGAAGCACAACAACACCGCATCCTTCCTAAAACGGCGGCAGCGTGAATACTGGGCACACCGCTCTTATGGGGATATAATTACCGCGACTCGAGTTTCAACGCATCCCCTTTGTTTGGGACGGATTGACGGATAGGGGTCAATGATATAGGACACCAAATGGGAACTCGACGCCGTATGAACCCGTATGAGTCAAACTTCACTTGGACGAATGTGGAAGTTGTACGACTCGTTTATTTTCTGTAGTCTTTTCGGACATCATACACTTGTCTGTTCTCGTTTATTTTGTTATATGAACCACGTCTCTGGAAGACAGATCTCGACCGTCTCTATGATCAGAAGGTCCATCTCGTTCATGACGAGGTCGTCTAGAAGTGACGGGAATGCAATTTGCAATGCCAGACGGAGAAAAGCCAGCTATACCGACTCCGCAGAACAAAATCAATCCAAACGACAGAAAAGCCCATGGCAGGGAAAGAGAAGAAAGAGAAGCAACGAGAAGAATGGTTTTGTGCAAACACAGCATCGAAGAACTGCATATATCCAATACACCAGGAATCCATATCGTGGCCGCCAGTGTACATTTTTGGTTATTTTTTGAGTTGCCCCAAAGATATAGACTGTATAAGAGGAAGGAAGAGAAAACAATTAGAGGTATCTGTGAAGACGAGAAGAATATAGTGGAAGAGTATCAGTAAGAGATGCAAAAGATGCCAAAGACAAAATACAAAAAAAGCCTATCCGTAGAACCGGAGCAGTACAAGGAAAGTTAAGACCATCAACGCGTTCTGGGCCAGCAGGGTTTATTTTGCCCGCCGCGCGCAGTCGTATATTTTTGTTGTTTCTTCGTTGTTCGTGATTCGTGTCGTTTGGATGCGATCCAGAATGTGTATCAATGTATTTGATCAAGAGGAACAAAAAAAGAGGAAGTGCAGCATGCCGTAAACAAATGACGTAAAATGCATTCGCCATCATACACTCAACTCTCAAGAAGACAAATAAAAAAAGAGAAAGACGAAGAAAGACAACCATTTCAGCCTTGGAAGCGGCCTGGATATTCGTTTTGCCGGCCCAGCACATATGCTTCAAAGGACTCCGAGGTCATGGAACGGGCGGTGACGGGGCCTGCACGTTCCGGTGTGGCCGGTTCCCACTCGTCGTCGGTGATGGCGCGGAAGAGGTAGTGCTCGTAGCGTGTCCGTGCAAGGTTTGGGTGGGTTGGGTGAGCCGGAGGAGGGGGAGGGGGTGGAGGTACAGCATCTGCGGCAGTGTCGCCAACGTCGGAGCCTGCATTGCCAACGGCGTCACCGGTGGCATTTCCAGCATCACCGGCACCGACATGACTTGCAACACCTGGTCCGTCCACGAGCGTCCCGGTCTCGCAGAAAAACGCGCCCTCAAGGTGCATGCGCTGCAGATGCGGCAACCGGCCGCCGCGCAGACTGCGGAACAGCGACCAAAACGTGCCGTTGCTCAGGCGGACACCGCCCATGGGCAAGTCAAAGCTGCCGCCGGCCATGCCGCGCCCGCCGAGACGGAGGCGTTCGAGGGTGGCAGCGTGCCGCAGCAGAAAGCCACGCAAGTCACTCTCGTCGCACACGACACCCTCCAGCTTGAGATCCGTCAGAGCGCGGAAGCGGAACCCGCTGTCACTTGCGCTGGAACTACTGGGGGCGGCGAAACCATGACTGTTGCTGACCAGAGGCGGCCCTTCCAGGCTGCCCGTCTCGCCCAGCAGCTCTCGCAGCGACAGCATGAAAAGCTCGCGGGCAATGGAGTGATTGTGAAACGCAAGCGACAAGTGAGTTAGATTCGGCGCCATGCGCAGGACGTAGCCCAAGCCATTGACTGCTTTGACTTTGGCGAGGGGGAATCCGACGTTGGACGTATCGAGCGCCAGCTCGAGCAGTGTCAGTCCGCCAAATACGTCACGGCACTGGAACCACAGGCGGCGGTCGGCCTGGTGGCGAAACAGTTCAAAGGGCAGACGATCAATAGAAAAGGAGTCGAGGCGGCAACGGCTTGCGGGCTCGTCTGCTGCTGCTGACGGGGATGCGGGTGACGACGGGGCCGGCGAAGAAACAGCGGAAGAGACAGGGGACGACGTGCGAGTGGATGCGATCGAGGCGGCGGCCGACGCCACGGCGGAGGTGGGTGCCGAGGCATAGGCAGATGCCGACGAGGGAAACGAGAACAGGTCGCCGCGCGAGCTGCGGCTGCTGCGGGTGCTGTGCCCAAAGGACGACCCCGACGCCGGCCGGGATGCACATGCCTGCTGCAGGGCTGCCATGAGGACATTGAGGCGCTTGATGGCGGCGCCGTAGTTCATCTTGGAACTGGCAGGATTGAGCATGGCCATGCGTAGCTCGTCAATGTCGTAAGGCGTATGGCGGAACGTAACAGCGAGCGTGTGCAGATTGACGAGTGAGCGGAACGTGGCGGCCAAGTCAGCCGGGTCCAGAGCGTGTAGAGGCGTGATGGCAAGGCGACGCTGCTCAAACTCGGCGCACTGGCGCCATGCTTTTGTCAATACATTTGTCTGGTGGTCAGGGCGGTAGTGCATAGTCTCGTAGTACGTGGCCTGGCGGGCGTTTTCGATGTCCACCTCGGTGAAGTTGAAGGTGACGGACTTGATACTGAAGCGCAGGCGCTCATGGGTGGCAATAGCACGTAAACGTGCAACGTCGTCGCGCCATGGCAAAGCAAAAAAGTCTGGCGGCAGGAGATAGTCGTAGCCAATATCGGCCAGCGTCGGTGTGAGAAGACGAAGGTTGCGGATGGATTCCGAGTCGCAGTAGCCAAGGATAAGCTGGAGCAGCTCGACCGGGAGGCTGTCCATGCTGCAGAGGAAAGACGGGCGTAGAGGGATACGGAGTGAGGGACGAGGCCAGAGCGGCCCAGAGATGGTGCGGTTCAATGAGGTGAGGTTCGGGTCACGAGATCACGATCGTATGCTGTTGGATGTGACGGCAAGGGGCAAAAGCACAAACGGTGTGCGTGCGTGAGACACAAGAGAGCCGGATATAACGAAGGCAATAAATCGAAGGAGAGCGCTCGGCAAGGCTTCATATATGTTGTTGATACAAAGCACACGGACCGGGCGCTGACAAAAAGCGGGCGGCGAGACAGTAGGCAGGGAACTAAAGACAAAACGACAAGAGCCAACGGGCAGCTAAATCGGGCATAAAAAGTAGCCTGTAAGTCTGGGGAAGGGCGGTGGGAGTTGGCGGCGTGAGGCTTGGCGCCTCGATGCTGAGGAAACAAAGCAGGAGAAAAGAAAGGAGAAAAGAAGGAAATCAAAATGAAATATCCAGAGAGAAAGACAAGAGGGAAACGACGATTTAAAGCAAGGTAAGAGCCGACCTGGCCATGGCGAGGAAACTGCGTTGCAGCATGCGACAGAATGGGGAAAGAAAGCATGGGAATTAAATTTACTTCAAAAAAAAAAAAAGGATTTATACAAAAATGGAGATGCAACCCACAGCCGGCGAGAGTCGGTGAGCTCAACACAAGGCAGCAAAGGACCCCTGTATGGGGGCCAGCAGACTAAAACACACGAATCTGGAGTTTTCGATGAATGATCCTGCGGTGCTTTCCGCTGAGCATGCAGAGCGATATGTGAAAAGGAGCAACTGGGGCGCTTTTCGGGATTATTCTGTGCTCCATTTGGCTAGCAAGAACCCGAAGCTGGCTCCAGTTTGAAGCCCGTGTGACTGCCGGGCCGCTGCAGCCCAGTGCCGCCCGAGACGAAAAGGCGGAGGAGGAGGAAGGCGCGAAGGAGGAACAGACACAAGAGGGCGTGAGGAAGGTGCAGAGGGGATTGAGCGTGTCGGCTTCTGACGTTCCTTCCATGTGTCTTCTGTGGCATCCATCGTGCTTTGGCCGGCCGCTCTTTCCTGGTGTCAGTCGATGTGAGCATGCAACGATTGTCTTAAAACGGCAACGACGATCTTTAGCAGTCTCGTCCCCTTTTCCCCTTTGGAATGCCTTTGGACATTTTTAGAGTTTACACTTTGCTTCACCTCGTTGACCTATTTCTTTGCTTATTTCGTGGATTTTCGTCACATTTTAAGTCATTCTTTCTGTCCCTGCACCTCCTGTGCCCTCCTGCATGTCGCCCCATCTCTTTACATCCCAACAAGCGGTGATGGTGTGGCAGCCCCTGCCGTTGGTTGGCCCAGAGAAGAACGCCAGAACGACACAGAGAAGACCGAAAGAAGACGAGAAGAGCCATACAAAGCGGTTGCTTTGCGTCCGCCACTCACAACGCACCCTGGCCGCCTTTGCCCCCATCGGTTGGGCCCAGCGTATTACAGACAGGTAAAGACGAGAGACAAGACGGCAGCCGAGTGGGCCGCCTGGGTCGCCCTGCATCAAGAAAATCGATGAAAAGCCAAAGCAGCAAAAAGAAGCAACAGCAGGAAGAGGAGGTGAGACGGTGCCTATCTGAGGCAAAGAGGCGGAACGACCGCTGGTTGGTCTGCACACCGAGGGCCCGCATGGGTTTGCTGGCGGTTTCTGACCTCCGCAGCTGCAGGCCGCCTTTCTTTTTGCAGTCCTCAAGCTGCAGAGGAGCTGCAGCTGCACGGACAGGGGATGCCAAAAGGCGGATTGGTAGGTGACCACTCGACCACCCACAAAGCAAACCGCCTGCACCTGAGACGCGCCTGGGCAGGCCAGGGACCAGAAGAGAAACTGACAAGTGGACTAGTAGACTGGCATACGAAGTACATGCAGAAGCAAGAGACAAGAGAAGCAAGACGGCTCCGGCACTCCGTCATCCGTCGACGTTGGGCACGGATTGCTGGCCTGTGCATCTGAGAGCTTCACCGCCAAAATATGGGGCTCGACAGCTGTGCACCACTCCAATATGGCTACCCGGTATGTCGCACAACAGATTCCGTACGCAGTAATACATCCTGGGGCAACTCCGACTCGTGCAGGTCGCCAGGAACGGCACGCCGTTGCTGATCAGTGAAGAAGGGAACAACGGTGGAAGAGGCGATCAGAGAGGATCGTCGCCTTGCTCCTGGTCACTTGGCCACGGCCAGCCTCATACAACGGCTCTATCAGCATCCCTAATCGATACCAACACTCTGGCCGACCTTTGCTTGTTATGTTTCTTCGGCTTGCATTCTTTGCTGCTCGCTGCCTGGGTCTGCAGCTGTCCGTATCCCGATCCATCCAGAGAGCACTTCTACAACTTTGATTTGTTATTGTATGTCTCTCTCTCGCCACCACCGCCCCACCCGTCCAAGGCTGCCGTTTTGCACGCCACAACGACCTGACTGAACCTTGAAGAACACTGAAACCGAATTCAGTAGGGCAAATATCGACAGTCTTCTTCCTCGCTGCAGGTGTACGTATGTTGCACGCCGTCCGTGATAGCATCTCCGCCACTAATGAGGTGTCGGGCGTTGTCAGAAACTGTGAAACCGGATACGAAGAGTCGAGCGGACAATAAAGTCAAAGTCCGACATTATGTGTGAGCCCACAGAAACTAGTTGGGCTCGTAACAAGGGCGGATGGGCAAATGAGCAAAGGGTGCCTAGAAACCCTGGAAAGCTGCATCTTTAGCGCGTGTCCCAGCACTCTCCAGCGCCTGTCTTGCACAAACACAGGCGGCACCAGCCCTACCCGCAACTATCTTTACGCGGCAGCGCCACGGCAACACCAAGACGCCAAAACACGCCGCGTACTCGTCCACCTCATTAAACCGCAATCTCCAACCAATTTGTTTCGTTCTCCGACAATATCGCGAATATCCCACCTCAACAGCGACGAACGTAGGACTATCGGCAGCCGTCCTCCTGCTCGCTACAGAAGTCAAATACGAATTTGCAGCATCTGATATCCGGTATCGACTTTTGACAGACGATCGCGCTGCGCTGCTCGTATCAACAATATTGACAGCATCGACTCCATCAAGACATCGCCAACATCAAATATTGCCCAAGTCGACAGCGTCTCCTACAGCCTCATCGCGGCATGCACGCTGATCTCGCGCTGCTCCAGAAATGACACAAATAACAGCCGGTCAACGGCTATCGACATAAGACCAGCTACATCGTGACCCCGACTGGCCAACATTACCATGGTCTTTGCTGGCCTCCTGGGCACCGCCAAACAGCCGCGTCGACGGCAAAGTTCTGTCGCCAGCGGCCGTAGCGGCTTCCTGCGCCCGGGATCGTCTTCGAGCGCGCGCACAGTAGACGAAAAGGAAAAGGAAAAGGGCAAGGATGCAGACGATGCGATCGACGACAATGAGGAAGATACCAGTGGTGAAGACAGTGCCAATGACGCAAACGACGCCGCCTCGACCCGGACGATGAATAGTGCCCGTAGCGCCCGCAGCGGAGAGGGCGCTCGCAGTGGACGCAGCACAGCAGCAATCTCGCCATCATCACCACCCTCACACCCTCCGGACTTTATCGCCGACGAAACGCACCTCGCGCCCGTCTTTCGTGAAGCGCCCGACCTACGCGAGCTCAACAACAGCTTGGCTGCTCTTGCCGTCGTTTTTCCCGATGTCCAGGTGGATGTGTTCCGCGAGATGCTGACCAGCTTCGACGGCGAGTCCCGGCTGGCTCTCGTTGCCGACGCTCTCCTCAAGAGCAGGGCCACCTGGGTCAAGGGACGCTGGCGCATCGCCGACAAGGACAAATCCCCGCCGCTGCCCTCGGCCTCGTCCTCCGCCTCTTCTTCTGTCACTCCGACCGCTTCTGCCATCTCTGCCGCCGAGCGGTTCCGTACCCCCGAGTACAAAAAAGCCGTCAAGACCCTCGCCAGCCACGAGTTCATGGGTCTCTCTCGCTCCACAATCAACGCCGTACTGGCCGAGCAGAACTACGCCTACCTCGACGCCCGCCGCACCCTCGTCGAGATGTCCTCCAAGTCCTGGCGCTTCACCATCTCGTCGCTCTTTTTGCGCCGCAAACCCGTTGCCTCCACCGAGGCCGAGAACCACCCCCTCATCATCTGGAAGTCCACGGGCCAGGGGTCTATCATCCCGACCATCAAAGCCACCGGCAGCGCCGAGCTCGACCGCGAGCTGTACACCGCCCTCGTCGCGCCGCTGAGAGCACAGAAACGCTCCGAACAGGAAGATGCTGACCGCACCATGGCGTCCGCTCTCAACACCGCCGAGGCCGAGGCCGCTGGCGCCACCTTTGAGTGCGCGTGCTGCTTCACGTCCACCACATTCGAAGAGGTGACGACGTGCAGCAACAGCGACGGGGGTGATGACGGTGACGGTGCGCATATCATTTGCTTCCGCTGCGTGCAACACTCGGTCCGCGAGGCAGTCTTCGGCCAGGGCTGGGCCCGCACCATCGACACCAGCCGCGGCACCTTGTGGTGTCCGGCCGTCTCCCATACCGAGTGCAGAGGCATCATCCCCGTTGACCACATGCAGCGCGCCCTGCTCGACGAGAAGCGTGGTGCCGACACCCTGCAGCATCTCGATCGCCGCCTGGCCGACCACAGCCTTGTGGGGAGCGGTCTACCTCTCGTGCGCTGCCCCTTTTGCGCCTACGCCGAGATTGACGATATCTACGTGCCTTTCCACGAGGCTCCGCTACGAATTCGCGTCGATGGCCTCTACAGCCTCGCTTTTATCCTGCTTGTGTCCGGCGTGACCCACGTCCTAATCCTTCCGCTTCTTGTGTTGTTGGTCCTCGTCACCATCCTGCCCGGGTTTATGGCCCCCGTCGGCCTCGCTTCATGGGTTGTGTCTGCATGGAGTGTCCTCAAATACAACTTTGGCGGCGTTGGTAGCGATAGTAGCAGCAGCAGCAACAACAACAACAACAACAACAACAACAACAACAACAACAACAACAACAACAACAACAACAACAACAACAACAACAACAACAACAACAACAACAACAACAACAACAACAATGGCACATTGCGACGGAGAAAGACAGCAGCCTCCAGTAAGCCCAACTACTTTTGCGAACAGGTCTCAGCAGCCGTTACCCGCTTCCGCCGCCGCCGCCGCGGCCAGCAGTTCCGCTGCCAAAACCCGGCCTGCGCGCGCGTCTCGTGCATCGGCTGCTCCAAGGCCTGGACCGACATCCACGTCTGCCACGAGTCCAGCCTCGTTGCACTGCGCACCCAGGTCGAGCAGGCCATGAGCATGGCCATCAAGCGCGTCTGCCCCCGCTGCCACACCTCGTTTGTCAAGGCCGTCGGCTGCAACAAGTTGACCTGTCCCTGCGGATACAAAATGTGCTATGTTTGCCGCAAAGACATTAGCGGCAACGAAGGGCCCGACGCCGGCTACCGCCACTTTTGCGAGCACTTCCGGCCCCACGGCGACGGCCGTCCCTGCACCCAGTGTCGCCGCTGCAACTTGTGGGAGACGGAGGACACCGAGGCCGTGCTCCAGGCCGCCCGCGAGGAGGCCGAGCGCAAGTGGCGGGAAACGGAGCAGCGTGACCTGAGCCTCTCCGAGCGCGCGTACCTGGAGACGGGTATTGCGATTGGCGGCGGCACGGCGGCCGGTGGCAGCGTCAGCGTCAGCATGGGCAGCAGTGGTGCCGGCGGCCCCGGCGTCGGTTTCGGTGCCACACCAACCGGTGCCATCCTTGCACGGCGTGCGATGACGGGCGTGGTGGCATGGGCGACGTCGCTGCTGTCGTGGTCGCCGTTGTCCGGCAAAGAAGACGGTGGTGGTCGACGCACGGCGGCCGAGGCTTTTGACGCTGCCAACCAGGCCCGGTTCCCAACCTTGGCCGAGACCCTGGACTGGCTACTTGAGAGCATCCTTGTATGAGCGAGAATGAACATGGCTCAGCTTGCGTTTCCATTTTGTTTTGTTTTTGTTTTTGGATACTCCCTTTATTCCCCCTCTTCTAATATTCTTCTGGGTACCCTTCTTTCTCCTTTTACCCTACTTTCTTTATTAATCATGTCTACAGGGTGTTTGCTTCATGTTTTCCGCTCATTTCTTTTTTTATGACATTCCCTACGGAGCTTGTTTTCACGTTATACCACCTCCCTCGTAATGATTTGTTTACAAAATACGGCCCAAGATAAAAGACAAAACCGCACAGGCCGTTTTTATTCTCTATTGTATTTTATTTTCAATGAAAGCTGAAGGTTTCTCCAAGCAAAACACAACTACAAATGAACAAAACACTTGGTTATCTTGTCCTCGAGGCGTTGTCAAAACGAAATATATAAATTCCATGTAAATCATACAGAACACGCAAGAAGCAGGGAAACCGATAGTATAGTACATTCTTTTCCTCTTTTCCTCCACTCGCTCGTCCAGGTCAGCCGAGGCACGCCGTGGACTTTAACTTAGATCTTGCTCTTCTCCGACGACGACACCAGCTCCGCGGCCGCACCGCCAATGGCCAGCTTGCCCGTCTCCTTGACCTTGGTCTGGAAGATGATCTTGCCCGGGTTGGCCTTGTCCTTCCACATCTCCGTCACCAGCGTCTGGCCGGGCAGCACCGAGCCCGCGAAGCGCACCTTGATGTTCTTGAAGGGGCCAAACGTCTCGTAGACGGCCTTGCCGGCGAAGCCGAAGAAGCACAGGCCGTGCAGGATGGGCACCTTGAAGCCGCCCATCTTGGCGAACGCCGGGTCCACGTGCAGCGGGTTGTAGTCGCCGCTGAGGCGGTACAGGGCGGCCTGCTCTTCGGTCGTCTTCTCCTCGACGACGACGTCGGGGGCGCGGTCGGAGGGCGGCGTGTTGGCCGCCGTGGCAGCGCCGCGGTCCTGGACCTTGGGGTTGCCGCCGAAGCCGCCGCAGCCGCGCAGGAACACAGTGGTCTCGTTGTAAAACAGCTCCTCGCCGGTCTCGGCGTTGACGGTGGTGATGCCGTTGCGGACAATGGCCGACTTGCCCTTGTCCACGACCTCGAGCAGCTTGCCGTACGACTGCAGGCGGCCCGACGTGGGGACCGGGTACTTGCGGACCTCGAGGTACTGCTCGCCGTGCAGCAGCATCATGGGGCTGAAGTTGGGCACAATGTCGTCGAAGCTGTACGGCAGCTCCGCATCAAAGGGCGGGATCACACCGAACGTCGGCAGAACCTGGAAGTCGTCGGCACCCTCGCTACGGCGTGTTAGTGACCCGGTAGGTAGGCAACGGCCTTCACGGTGACAAAAGGGAGGGGGAAGCTTCTTACAAGACGTATTTGAGGTCGGAGCGCTTGGCGCCAACACCAAGGTTGTAGAGCATCACGTCGCGCTCTTGGAACTTGAATTCGGACGGGCTGGGCTTGGCCGCCTTGGCGGCCTCGATGGCGCGGAGGAACTCGTTGGACTCGCCGGAAGGAGCGGCATCGGACTGCAAAGTGGAAGAAAAAAGGAACGTTTAATATCCGGTAACATTTTCTCTAGCTATAGATACAGGTAACAATGTGCAAAAAGAAACAAAGTAGCAGAGGCGGTCATACTGTTGCCGCCCTTTCCCCAAGTTCCCAATCGTGCGACAAAAAAAAAAAAGGAAAAAGAAAAAACGGAACAAGACACAGGAAGAAAAGAGGAAGCAGAAATAGCTCATACCTTGGCCTTAATCTGCTGCTCAGCCCTGAGCCACGATGTGCAGGCCTCCGCTTTGGTCGGGTGGTCGGCCTTGCCGTTGTCGAAGTCGACAATCTGGTCCCACGTCTTGGCGACGTCCTCGGGGGTGAGGGCCTTGCTGCGCGGGTAGGCAACACCCGACGAGCGCTCGAAGCGAGTGCGGCCAGCCCAGCCACTGCCGACCTCGTACAGGAGACCGGTCGGGTTCTCGGGCACCTTGTCGCTGCACAGGGCGAGGACGAGGGGCGCAATGTAGTCGGGCTTGAAGGCCTGGACCATCTCCTCGGGCAGAATGGTGCGGGTCATGGCCGTGCCAGCGTTGGGGGCGATGGTGTTGACGTAGATGTTGTGCTTCTGGCCCTCGACGGCAGCCGCCATGGACAGACCGAGGATGGCGCATTTCTAGCAAGTTAGTATGATCGCTTCAATGAATGAAAATTGCACAATGCAAAGTAAACTCACCGCCGCAGAGTAGTTGGCCTGGCCAAAGTTGCCGTAGATGCCGGACGTCGACGTGGTGTTGACCACGCGGCCGTAGTTCTGCTTGACAAAGTAGGGCCAGGCAGCCTTGGTGACCTTGAAGGTGCCGCGGGCGTGCACGTTCATGACGGCATCCCACATCTTGTCGTCCATGTTGGCAAAGGCCTTGTCGCGCAGGATGCCGGCGTTGTTGATGACAATGTCGATGCGGCCAAAGGCGTCAATGGCAGCCTTGACGACGGTGTCACCGTCCTCGGCCGAGGCCTTGACACCGACGGCCTTGCCGCCCATCGCCTTGATCTCGTTGACAACGTCGTCGGGGTTCGCCAGGTCGTTGACAACGATGGCGGCACCGTACTTGGCGAACGCCAGGCAGTAGGCACGGCCAATGCCGGCACCGCCACCCGTGACCAGGGCGACGCGGCCCTTGAAGCTGACCTCCTCGCCGCCCTTGGTGGGGCCCATCTGGATGGAGTCCTCGAGCAGGGTCATGAAGTCGTTGGGGCCGTTGGGGTACTGGGCGTCCTTGGAGAAGTCGCCAATCTTCTTCCAGTTCTTCAGCAGGGCACCCGGGGTGTAGGTCTCGTCGCACTTGAGCAGCAGACCGTCGGCGCGCTGCCAGCGCATCTTGGAGATGTGGGCACCGCCGACCTCGTAGACGTAGCCGGTCTCGGTCTCGTTGGACTTGTGGGCCAAGAACGCGACCAGGGGCGTGACCCAGGCGGGCGACACCAGCGACAGGAGCTCCTTGCTGCTGCCCAGCGACTCGCTCATGCGGCTGGCCGCGAGCGGCGCGACAGCGTTGCTCAGGATGTTGTACTTGATGCCCTCCTTGGCGAGGGTCTCCGTGAAGCCGATGATGGCGGTCTTGGCGGCCGAGTAGGCAGCCAGGTTGCCCGAGCCGTAGAGACCGGCAGCGGACGTGGTGTTGATGACACGGCCGTACTTCTGCTTACGGAAGTGGGGCCAGGCAGCGCGGGCGCACTTGAAGCTGCCGGTGACGTGGACGCGGATGTGGTCGTCCCAGTCCTTGTCGGAGGTCTTGGAGAAGGGGAGCTCGCGCAGAATGCCGGCGTTGTTGACCAGCACGTCGATGCGGCCGTACTTGCTGATGGCCGTCTCGATGATCTTCTCGCCGACCTCGACCGAGTCGTAGTTGGCCACGGCCTCGCCGCCAGCCTTCTTGATCTGGTTGACGACATCGTCGGCAGGCTGCGAATGTGTTAGCGATGCAAACAGCAATCCAGTGTGTCTCATCTCGACCTCATCGACGCCTGGCCAGCATTGTCACTGTGTCGCTTACCCGTGAGGAGGTGCTGCCGCTGCCAGACAGCTGAACGCCAATGTCGTTGACGACAACCTTGGCACCGCGCGAGGCGAAGAAGAGAGCGTAGTCCTTGCCGAGGCCGCCACCAGCACCGGTGACGACGACGACCTGGTCGTCGAAGCGCAGCTGCTCAGCCATTGTGAATGTGTGTGAGGGCGGGAGAGGATGGGGATAGATGAGGAGATGCGGGAGTTGAGAAAGGACGAGAAAGGAAGAAAAGAAAGAAAATGGAAAAGAGAAGATGCAGGAAATGAGTTTAGAAGACGTCTAGATAAAATGCCAGATTCACCTCCACATGCAAAAAAGAGACAGAAAATGAAGAGCCAGTCAATTAGCCGGTCACGTTCAGGACGTTCTGGGGGATGCGAGATTATAAAGTACGCAGGTGGCAGAAAAGGGAGAAAAGGAGGATTACGGGTGAGAAAAAGAAAAGAAGCGGCCCGTTATGAGCTCACAAGCTTATGGCTTTGGATTACTCCGGCGATGGGAAAGCGCGGAGGGGGGAAGGCGCGGGCGGCGGTGATTGTTCGCAGCTCCCTGTTTGGGGAGCCATTTGGAGACACTGACGAAAACGCTCTCGGCATCTCCAAATTCCTCGCATGTCTCAAGCCGAGGCACCTTCAGGTGCTTTGCACTGCGAGAACGCTGGCCTGGTATTGGCGGATACCCCGGATGGGAAGGTGGAAAATGTGGGCACCTTCCCCAGCAACGTCCTGACTCGTGATTGCCGAGCGGGGCGTTGTTGCGACCGCGCCTTCCCTGCCAGCATATCTTACATAGAGCATAATTAGGGACTGTCTCCTGTGTAAGTCTTACTTTGTCGCCCACTGTAATTTCTCCGTATTTCTGTCCAAGGCAATCGCCCCAGCCCAGCGACTGCATGTGCAACTAACTGACTCCACAACGAGAAGAATTAGGGGTGTTTTGAGCCGAGTTGAGGACTCCCAGCAGCCATTGTTCGTTGCTGGAACCAATTGAACACCTGTCAGCCGTACCTTCCCACTCTGTAGAAAGTGGTCTTAGAACAGCGTCAGCGCGTGCCATAGAATGCTTCAGACGGTAGGAGCGAGCCGACTAGGCACGATAAAACTTGAATGGTAGGAAGGCACGCTTGCGACTGATCTTTGCGAGGAAGGTGCGACGAAGAGCCACCAAACATGCAACTAACGATGATTCAATTTCCCCACAAAGTCGGCTGTCGTCCTCGTTCTCGCAGAGTCTGGAGAACAAGTTGAAAGCTCCTTGCTCGCTGACGAATGGGCCAGTGTGATCTTCACATGTCAAAAGCGGACAGTGCTATACAGAATGTCGTATGTTGCCACACTAATCGATGCCTTTCCTAATTCGGACAGTCGTGTGGTCGCTCCTACTCGGCATGAGGTCAGAGGTACCAAAAGTCACGAGGGACGCGGAAGGCGAACCTGCCACAGCAAGACGCGACCTGTAGGAAAGAGCGATGCGTGTCTCAAATGTGAATCTTGCCTTTTGATCGCCAAGTTCATGATCCTTGGATTTGTGCGATTCTTCGTTGGCTTTGGGGTCATCAATTGAAACCTCCTTGCGCCAACCATCGGGGTAACACCAAACAGGCTTAATGCCAGAGCTTCTTCACTAGGTGCGCTCCGATACGGAGTACTCTTTGCTAGCCCCTACCATGCTAAAACGTCATCGCCAGCATCATGTCCGATTCTGGCCATGAAGCACAAATCGACTGAAAAAAGAACCGTCGTGAACAGAATGATGCCAGTCATAACTACTTGATTGACTTCCTTCAGCCTACCCACCGCAGCAATGACTTCCACACCAGACGCCCCGCTGGGGTCGCGCATCATCGACGACAAATCACCCATCTGCGTCCCCTTCATCCTCGAGCGCCTCACGCAGTATCGGAAACAGAACCCCGACACCCAGCGGCCGTTTGTCGTCGGCATCAACGGCGTGCAGGGCGTGGGAAAGACCACGCTCGTCCAGACGCTCTACGAGACGCTGCAGGACCGCGAAGGCCTCGAGACCCTCGTCGTCAGCATCGACGACTTCTACCTGACCCACGCCGACCAGACTGCGCTCGCCGCTGCGCACCCGGACAATGCGCTCGTGCAGGTCCGCGGCGAGCCCGGCACGCACGACACGCCCCTGCTGGCCTCCTTCTTTGACGCCGTCCTGGCCGGACAGCCCGCCCACGTGCCCGAGTACGACAAGGCCGCGTTTGCAGGGAAGGGCGACCGCGCCGCGCCGACGCCTACAAACCCCGGCCGGCTCGTCAACGGGCCAGAGCAGCGGCCGCTGCAGGTCGTGATCGTCGAGGGCTGGTGCGTGGCGTTCCGCGCGGTGGCGCCGGCCGCGGTCGAGGCCAAGTGGCAGCAGTCCGGCGCGTCGCCCGACACCAAGCTGTCCTCCAAGCTGCACACGCACAAGCTGGGGCACCTGCTGCTCGTCAACGAGCGGCTCGCGGCCTACGATGCGGCGCTGACCAACCACATTGACGCGCTGATCCATCTCGACGCCGAGCATACGCCGTATGTGTACGACTGGCGGCGCGAGCAGGAGGCGGCGCTGCGCCGGGCGCGGGGCACGGGCATGACGGACGAGCAGGTGGAGCAGTTTGTGGACGCGTATTACCCGGCGTACGAGCTGTTCGCGGACGGTGTGCGGAAGGGCATTTTTCCGCAAGTAGAGGGCAAGCCTGGCCGGCAGTTGCGGCTCGTTGTCGGCAAGGACCGGCGCGTCAAGGAGACCATTGAGTTATAAGGCGGTCGACAGAAGAAACGCCAACAAAGATTCAGAGCGGGGATTATCGTGTTATCGTGTCTAGTGAGCGGCCGAGTTTCATAATGCCATACACAAATACTTACATAAATATCCATGCGGGTTATGTAAGCGGTATTGCATCAAATCAAAGGTCAGAAAACAAAGCGAAGAAACGAATACGTAGAAACATGCACAGAACACATAATAAGAAGCAAAAAGAAAGTTGGTTCATGAATGATATACAGCGAAAACGCGACCTTGCTCTATTCCCATCCATTGCCAAATGATCATTGCCACCTTGCCAACCGTGATGCCATGCCCACCCATGTGTTATGAACAATAAATAGAAAACCCCAGTCCGGGATCGGCGACTCTTCTCGTTCGTTGGTGTTCAAGTCGATGTTGAGCCTTGTTGTGGTGTTTTCTCCTGTTTTCGGGCGGATTGTTCCGAGCGCGGTAAAATATTTGCTGTGCATGCTAAGCCCCTGGTAAAGCGTATTATTGACAGCTCCAAGTCTCCAAGCTCCAGCTCCCAGCCCTCCACAAGCCAGTGGAGCTTCGTCGGTGCCGTTTGTGGGCGATGCCGCCTCTCTGTTTCTTCAAATCCTTCAACTGCCCTGAGTTTGTGCACCTTTCCACACTTGATTCTCCGTCGTCCCCAACGGCGCTTCAAAGGTCCACAGCCTTGCCGCGCATCATTCCTTCGCCTTCGTGTCGGAGGTCGCCCAGCGTGCGCTCTATGCTCTCCGCTTTAAGGCGCACAGTCTTTTCACGCTCGGCAACTTCTGCTTCAAAGTCGGCCATCCGCCGCCGCTTGGCCTGCCGTTTCGCGCGAATCTTGTTCGACAGCTCGGCAAACTGCGTCAGGAACCAGTCGCCGCACTCATCCCACTCGTCGACCGACATGTCTGTAAAGAAATGGTGCTGGCTGTTGGCGTCCTTGGTCTTGAAATGCACCAGCCGGTCTTCCATGGTAGCTAGCTTGGCCGGGGCGGCGGGCGCCGGGCGGACGGCCATGCGGGCCGGGTCATGGTCAAATGGCTCGTCGCGGAGCTCTGAGTAGCTCATCGCGTGCAGCACGCTGTCGTCGTAGTCTGGACTGTGGCGCCGCTTCCGACTCGGTTTCTTGTCGCGCCGGCTGCCACCGCCGCCGCCCACACGGGGCAAGGAGCTTTCCTGCAGGACCCGCTTTTGCTGTTGCTGTACTGGGATCGCGGGTGGTGGTTGTTGCGGTGGTGGTCCTGGCGGCGACGATCGGTTCTGGCGCGGAGTACGTTGATTGGTTGCCTCATCACCCTGTGACGGCAAGTCGCTTCCATCGTCGGTCTCGGGCCGAGCAGGTGTCCGTCCCAGCAGCGGCGCATCAATGTCACGGAAAAATGCAGACCGCTGGGCGCCCAAGTCGTGGTCCAGCCCTACACCACCGCCTGCCATGACTGCTCCGTTCAACTTGGGGATGCTCTCGCTTCGTTGATGCATGCGGCGTTCGGGGGAGCTTCCGTTGGCTTCGTCCACGCTTCCATGTGGCTGTCGCTCGGAAAATGAAGACCGTCGGGTCGCACCACGGGCATCTCGCAAAGCGTACTTGGAGTGCTTCAGGACAGGTATATGCCTCGACGGGGAGCCGTAGGGAGACCGGTCTACGTAAGGGTCATCGGTGTGAGCTGCCGTGTCGCCGTTTCCGTTTGTTGGCAGTATCCGGAGTCCACCCCGATCACCCATCACAAGAGAAGCCGCCTGCTCCCGTTGCTGTGGGAAGGAGCTCTCATAGCGGCCCAAGTTGGCCGAGCGGGGTGGTGGTCGTGTTGTCGTCGTTGTGCTCTCTGCAAACATAGAGTTAATGCTGGACTCTTCCCATATTTGTTGCTGCTGTTGCTGCTGTTGGGACAGTTCGGAGAAGGGTGGCGGCCGGTTGTTGTCCGAATTTGACCGTGTCCGCTGAAACGACGGCTGTCTCTGAGGCTGGTCGTGTGTACTTGCGTGTTTCTGTGCCTGCTTTGGAGACGGAGAAGCTGCCGGGAGTGCGCCATTAGTCTGATGGTTCGGGGTTGCGCCACGAAGGGGAGTAGGGACGGGGATCTTTGCGGCCTCGGCGAGCTGTTGCCGCGCAGACAGCGGGAGCGGCGCATGGATCGTGTGGGGGGTATGCTGTGTACCGGACTGAGAAGAGGGCTGCTTGGGGCTGCCGCCGGGCGCCCCGCTGGTGTTGATGCCTGCGGCGTTGCTGGCACTTGCGGTGGTGTTGCCGTTGACGTTGCTGTTGCCATTGCCGTTGCCCTTGGGCTCGGAGCTTCGCATGTATCGCAGCATCTTGAGTTGTGTTGCTGGCATCATCGCCCTGCGCAGGCAGGACAGACAACTATGGGCAGTCGCGGCGGCAGCAGCTGCCGGCGAAGAGGCGGCCAGCTGTGTGAGAGCCAGGCCACCGCTGGACTGCGGTGCGGTACGAGCACAGGACAGTGTGCTATAGTGTTGGGGGCGAAGAATGATATACCAAAGTGTATGGAGATGTAAACAACTGCTGCCCTATAGTGTCGAAAATATGAGGGCGATAGCGTATCACAGTATGTATCGTCCTTAGGCCGCCGCGTCCCCCAGTGGTTCTCGTGTAGAGTTGCCCGTGTGCCAGCACAGTGTGCGTCAGAGGCGTTCGCCTGTTCCCTAGTCTCGTTGGGGACAAGTCGGCTGCGAGTCTGTGTGGTTGAGAAAGCAAGGACCTGCTTGCTGCCTTGTTCCTTTTAGGAAGAAGGTCGACGGACGGTCGGGGAGTCGGTGCAATCGGAAGACTTATAACTGTCACGGCGCGTTCTGTTGGGTGCGTGGGATGGTGCGTTGGACACAGGTAACGTTGGGCCGCAGATGAGTTCGAGAAACCGAGTTGGGTCAATTTGCAAGACGAAGGAGAAAAGGGGGAGAATGTGGAGGTCGAGTAGAATATCAAAGGGCGGATGCGTTGAGTATGGGGTAACTGGCGGGGGGGGAAGGAAGGTCGTGCCGTTCTTTCTCAACGGTCGTGGTTCCAATGGAGTCGAAAGGAAGGCACACGAAGTCAGGTGAACTGCATGGCCTCGCCTTCCCTAAGTGGCCTCATTGCATTGAATTTTTAGTGCACGTTTTGGGGGCATTTGGGGATCGCTCTTTCTCTGGTTGTCGCTGGCGCGTGGCGCTAGCGTGCCGCGTTCGTTAGTGGGATCCACTCGCGGCTGCCAATTGCCATCCAACGGTTCCCTGCTATGACAGGTCCGCCTCAAATATCTCGAGCTGCATCGACATTGAACATGCCACCCTACACTTCTCTTCCTGCACGCTGCATGCGTCGTCGGTCGAGATGCAACAACACGCACACCAGATACGATGCGCTGGCAACGTCGCGCAATTGGTCAGTAAGTGTCTGCGTGTCTGTGCCATCTTTGACATTTGACTTCTTTGTCCGTTCTTTCACGAATTTTGTTTGTTTCCTTTCGAGTCTTATGCAGGAGCGTTTGCTCTAATATATGTAGTCTCGCTCATAATCTACTTTTGTCAGTTTTTCCAAACGAAAATAGAAAACATTTGTGTTTACGATTCGCCCTGACTTTATATATACCTCCACCTCTAGCTTTCAACTCACGCAAGTCGCCGCATCCTACCATTGTCGAAGTGAATGCAACCTGGTGCCCAATCCCCTGCCCATTGCTGCACCCTCGGGAGCCTGACAAGATATAAGGGTCCTTTATACCATCTGCTAAACTGCAGAGTAAACCTTCGTTGAGGACTAAACAGATCGGTCAGAGCAGTTTAAGACTTAAGATGAACAGTTGGTCATTGGGCCGCCATACAAAGAGCATCTGCCCATGCTATCCAATGACGAGATAGTTTCCTTTTGGCCACTCTCTCATACGATATGATTTGATCTCTCCTGCCAATTGCTGGTAACAAATGCATGCTGGCGGGTCCAGGGCCCAGCAAACCAGGCGGCAGGTCTGTGACAATGCCTGACTGTTTATTTTGCCGCCTCGCAGTCGTCCGTCGTTTTCTGCAACTCTGTGCGTGGTGAATCGATGGCATCGATCACCTGCCAGTGCCAAAGAACGCCTTAACGTCCTTGACCAACCAAGGCTTCGTTTCGAAGTTTCGAATGTGTGCTATGTCGTCCAGAAGCAAAACGTGGACAGAATAAAGAAGCCGTGAAAAGAAGAGAAACATTGTAAACATTGCCAACACCCACCAAATTTGGGGTTGCATTTCTGCACTTGGGCTGGTCGGTCGCCATAGCCGGCATCTGTCAACTCTTTTCCACCGTTAAATAATCGCGACCTAGGCACTGGTAGCGAACAAAGTCATACAGGTTAAATTCCCTCCAGCCCGAGGAGAACGACTTAGGAAGAAATATATCAAAACCAAATATGCTTGACTTTTGTAAAGGAAGTCTTTTAACCAAAAAGTACAGGAGGACATTACCTTCAAGTATACAAGTGTAGATTGAACAACGCTCTGCGTAATGACTGAAGTGACTGCTCCGGCCTTCTGCGGAAGTTCCTGGCTTTGCGGCAGCTCTCCAGAACGAGATGCGGTGCGCATATAAGATCAAATCGACGGTCTTGCGGAACAACATATGAATCTCCGCGTTAAAGTTTAAAATGATGCCTCCTACTATCAATACCAACAGGGGTGGTTTTCTTAAAAACAAAACTCGAATATGCTGTGCACATCGGAGCTCAAATTAAGCTTTTTGGAAGCGCTTCTCGGCACAAAGATCTAAGTCAGGCCGAGGCATAACACCGCATTTTCCTGTCTTCCAGCTATAATTCGCATTTCTTTGCATAGTATCATACGACTCTGTGCCGTCCGTTAGATGCCTCATTGCCGTAGTGGATGTTAGTCAAATATATGTGATATAAATCTATTCCGACCGAAGGCACTAAGCCTGAAGGGCTTTGGTTATATTGTGGGATGTGTCACAGCCTTCCGGCCTTTATATAACCACGTGACTATATATCGAACTCGTCCGGCTTGTTGACATACACAGAGGTATTTACCCTGGTCACCACACTTCTCTCTTTGTCGTCTGTAGTCAGAAAGACCATTATGAGAAGGTTTCGTGTTCTTCCACAACACCTATAGGTTGCCGTCTCCAAGCTGTACTGTCAGGCTCATCCTTTCGCTATATGTTCAAAATGCCCTCCCCTTGGCGATTTATTGCAGACACGGAGTCCGAGTCCGAGACAAGCGACGATGGCTATGGTGGTGCCGACAAGGAGACGGTGCAGCTGCAGGCGTTGCGTGGAGAGGTGGTGCCGGCGCTGCCAAGTCTCAAGGACGAGACGCTGCAGCGGTGCGTGATACACGGAGTGCGGCACCACGCCGACTATGCCAGCTCGCCTGAGATCTTGGAAATCTGTGCTTCAAGGCAGTATCCAGCCATTGTACGAGCCAGACATGCCCGACTGATTATGAGCGACGTCATTCCCCAAGATATGGGCGACGGCAACGGGGCGGACCAGCAGACGCTGCCCTACTGCATCTGGTACCCGGACGTCGCACGCGAGGAGACCTACCGCGCGCTTGTGCGGCAGTATCCCCAGATGCGCTACGCCGTCGGTCGCGCCTGTGCAGTCGCTGGCTATGCCGCTCTGTACCATGAACTGGGCCTGCTGCCGGATGTGTCCATCGCCGACGAGGCACGCGACAACATGGAGCGCGTGCCCGGCAGCCGTGCCATTTTTCGCGACATTATGGGGCAGACGCTGCGGTTTGCTGTCATGGACGACTACACGCGATCCGTGCATCTGGAGCAACCACGAGCGGGTGCATTGCTCAATGACGACACGGCCGTGCGTTCGCGGCTCGACAGCGATTCCATTGGTCTTGCAGACTATCGTCGCAACGGACGACGGCACGTGTACTTTGACATTGCCGAGGACCACGGGCTGGCCGAAGAGACGCGCAGTCCGCATTGGTCACCTCTGATCGCCGATGAAGGTACGCTGGCACTGCTCTACGCACCACTGCCGCCCGACCTGCAAGCTGTCAACAAGGACATGCTGATCCTGATGGCGGCCGCCGAGGGCAATGTCGACCGGTACGCGCGGCTGCGGCGGCCGTCTTTGGTGGAAAACGAGCTCTTCTGCGTGGTTCGTGGTATCTACCATAGCACCATGTTTGCCAAGTGGTGGGCAATGCAGTTGGACGACACGCGAGACGGAGCAAGGGCTCCAAGCCCCGTATTGGAGGCCTTGCAAACAAACAACGCTCCCTTTCTGCGCGAGGCCGTCAACGCCCGCCACATCATGAGCAACGACGTTTCACGCATCACCGCCGAGACACCCAGCAGCGAGATTCCCTACGTGATCTGGCACCCACGCCTGCCGGACTGGGCCACCTTGCGCGAGCTCGTCCGCCGCCGGCCCGACATGCGTTCACAGGCAGCTCACGCCTGCATCGTGGCCGACTACCAGGGTACCTATGACGGCCTGCAGCCGGAGCCCTCGTACGTACTCTGGACAGAAGCCAAACGACAGATGCACCGGAATCCGCACTACGCGCAGGATCTCGAGCAACGCGCAGACGCGCTCGGACTTTCTCTCCACGAAGAACGACCCGCAGACCACGTCGAGGCCGTGGGGGCGATCCGTGTCCGCGACACGGATCCGACGGATGCCTGGCTCTACACCCAGCTCGATCCGTCGCTGATGCTGTTTGCCGGGCACGGATCGGGTGGCATCTACCAAGGTTTTCAGCCGACCACCAGCTACGTGGACTTGGCCGTATGCGTACGTCGCTGCGACAGGAGGCACTCTGCAAGCCAGGCAAAATGATGCCGCTCTACCAGGGCATTGTGGAGGATGAGGTGGATGACGATGTGAAGGAGTAAAATGAAGAGACACTGCAATAGTCGGATAACAATACATTTACTTTCTTTACGAAACCATGTAGCATTGTCTTGCAGCATGCGTACAAGAAGATGCCATGCACTCATCTTCTAGCGTTCATTTTTTGTTTTGCATGTTTGTTTGTGTGTTTGTTGGTCCGAAGCCACTTTGTTATCCGCCTTGTCGTTCTTAGTCTGGATGTTTCTTAGAGCCTCGAGACTTTCAGCGTCGTTAGAACTCTCAGTGTTTTTATTTGAGATTTTATTTGTTTATTTGCATCCCTTAGCCCGTCATGGCGTCTTTGCATGTCTTGTGTCTGGCTGGTTTCTTGGCCTTCCTCCGACCGGCTGCTTTGGCATCGCCTTTCAAGGCCGAGCGCGGCGGGTTTTACGGCATTGGCCGCCCAGCCCCTGCATGCCCTGGAGCGTGCTCGGATGCCGGCCTTCTGTCGGCCAACTGGACACGCTACCACGACGTGCATCTGCTCAGACGATGCAACGATGACCTCCTCTTTGAAATGCATGTCGGCAGCTCTGTCAACGGCACCGCCACCGACACCGATACAGTCATTTTCGCTTGCAGTCTGACCGCCGCCGACTGGGGCCACTCATCGGCCTCGCCGGCAGATGCGACTGCATTGCCCTTTCCCGAGACTGGCTCACTACAGGGCCCATGGCAACGCAGGCAGCCAGGCAACAGTACAACCCGGACGAGCCCACCACAAGAGCCAGGCACCTGTGGTGCTGCTGCACGGCCTTCCCAGGGGCAAGTGTACACTGGCTCAATCGGTGCAGGATCTGGCTCGTCATCAGCAGCTGGCATCGCCATTGGCCATCTCAAGGACTACCTCGCCAACAACACACGATGTGGCTACGCGCTGCTCTTTGCTGAGTCGGGCAACGCGGTCGTCGGAGCATATGTTGGCGAGCAATTGCAAAAAGCCAGTGCCGTCGGACTGGTCGACATGTTGGACAAGCAGCTCACGTCTCGGAACGTCGACGCACTTGAAGTGTGCGATGCCGACAGAGGTGCCACCCATTCTGCTGGATTTGTTTCGGGCACGTTTGACAGCCTGGGCTTTGTCCAAGCGACACTCGGCATGTGGGCCAACGCGTCGTGTGTTTTAACGGCAAACAGCCGCCGCAGCAGGAGCTCGGATGCCAGCGTCGTGTTTCTTGATACGGGCAGCCGCAACGCCATCGACGCGTACGCCACCAGGAGAGGCAACAGCAGCGTCTTCACCGGACCTTCTGCACCTGGGCCGCGAACCCGGCCGGCAGCATCCTCTGCCAACGACGACTACGACCGTCCGCCCGAACCCCAGCCGCAGGCCGATGGCACCTGTGCAACATACACGGTTGGTCCCAAGGACATTTGCTATACGATTGGACAGAACCACTCCATCAGTGCAGATGACATTGAAACGTTCAACAGCAACACGTGGGGCTGGGCCGGCCGGCTGCAATGCCATCCAGGTGAACCAGGTGATTTGCATCAGCGCCGGCAACCCGCCGATGCCGGCACCCGTGGCGAATGTGCCATGTGGACCGCAGAAGCCGGGCACGCGGCGGCCGACAAATGGGACCAAGCTGCAGGACCTGAACCCGTGCCCGCTCAACGCGTGCTGTGACGACTGGGGCGGGTGCGGCACGACAGCCGAGTTCTGTACGGCCAGCAAGGGTCCGCGTGGCGCGCCCGGCACGCACGCCGGTGGCAACGGCTGCATGAGCAACTGCGGCACGACCGTGGTAAACAACGCGCAGAAACCGGCGTCCGTCATGCGGGTGGGCTACTTTGAGGGTTGGCACTACAACCGAGCGTGTCTGTTCATGAGCCCCGCAGACATTGACACGACCGCGTCCAGCCACATTCATTTTGCATTTGGTAACATCTCGGCCGGCTACGTACAACATATTCAGGCAGGGCGTGACGGCCGGACATCGCGAAAAACTGGCAGGAAACGTGGTCGCCTTTGTCAAGTCATATGGGGTCGACGGCGTCGACTTTGACTGGGAGTACCCGGGCGAGCCAGACATTCCAGGCATCCCAGCGGGCGGGACAGACGAAGGGGCCAACTACCTCGAGTTCCTCAAGCTGGTGCGCAACCTCATCGGAAAGGACAGGACGCTCAGCATTGCTCTGCCGGCATCGTACTGGTACCTGAAGCAGTTTCCCGTCAAGGAGATGGCGGACGTCGTCGACTATTTTGTCTGTATGACGTATGATTTGCATGGGCAGTGGGGTATGTGGAATGATATGACACTTTTATGGTCATTAACACAAAAAAAAAAAAAAAAAAAAAAAAACGTTACTTACTTATTTCTTTACAATGTATAGGCGCCAGCGCGGCGCATTGTCTTCGTCTTAGTTGTAGTTACTATGCGAAAATTTGACGAGGTCGGACGAGCTCATACCTTACTATTTGTCAGTCTACTACTTGTTTTACTATAATTTGGTTGATTTATTTTAAGAATACCTTACTACACTTAATAACCCCGGGTTTATACCACATATCCCGGCGTATTATACCAGGCCCATATACCACCCGAAAAACCTCATTAGGAATTTCCTTCTTTAAACGTACACCTGTGCCGTCCCTACTCTAACCTACTTAACGGGTATGCTCGCATATGCTCCCCTGTGCTCCCTGTGACCGCTGTACCTACTGTACCTACTGTACCTACTGTACCTCTATAACTGTTCCATCGCAAGCCGGCACAGTCACAGAACCTTGACCTCGGCCACCATCTTACAGTTTAAGAAGCACGGTTAAGTGCATCTCGGAAAGCCGGAACTGTATAACTCACAACTTTATCGAGGTGGTATTAGGTTGTGACTTATATCCCCCTGTATAAAGAGGTAGCCTATTCCTCTCATCTCTTTTGCTACCTCGGCCACCTGCCGCTCCTCTTTGCCTCTCTTACTTTCCTCTTGTCGGTATAAATGTGCTGTATAGCTATGGCACACACGCAGAGGCGTCGCGGTGCCATGGAGGTGTGGCGGCGTAGGCCGCCACACCCACCAAAAAGATAGGGGTACTGTCAGGCCGTCTCTGTATGTAGTCTCGCGCACCAAATTTTAGTGCATCAGATTAAAGACAGAGACTAAGATCTTTCACCACCAGATCAATTACATAACTTCCCACAAGGGAGGACGTGCAGGACCTAGGTGAGGTCGAATCAACGGTGAATCAACAGTGTTTCTATTGCTTATGAATCCTACCTGTCAAGGAGTGTTTCAACAAGCTATGTAATCAGGGCGCGCAACGTTGTGCTTGTAGAATTGTCGATAAGCTGAATTACTCCTTTTCGTGATGTTTTGAAGTAGCATATGCCGAGAACATCATCGACATCATCCAATTAATGACTGAGGCATAATTATGTGGCCGTTGATGTCATCCTCTGATTGGTCTGTTACACACAGGTCTCCTTAAGACCATACTTTTCCCCTCCATTCAAACACAGCAGTCCCTAGTTTCACCGCTAAATGGCAGCTAACAACATGACCGCAGAAACAGACGCATCGTTGCCGTGGGTCATTGACGTGCCCCGTTTCGCGTACAAACACAGCAAAAGCTGGGGCGCCCTCGGATACAGCCTGCAATTTGTGGCCATCCGCCAACGCGACCAGAAACGATGGCATGTCCGCGTTGTCGTCGAGTGCCGTCTCCTACCGACGCAGACCACGCGTGAGCGCGTCGTAGCACTGAAAGAGCTATGCCACGCTATTGATTTCGGCACGTTGGATCTACTGGACGATACACTCACCGAGGTATTCATTCACGTCGAGGATCCTTGTCAGGACTCAGGTGGTTGTCCGTTCGTGTACCGTTCGCTCCCCGACGGTAACCCGTTTAATCCCGATGACGCGGCGGTCGTGGTAGAGACGTGTGAAGATCCTACGCGGTTTTTGTTCCCGGTGTTAAACGGTAACACGGCGACGACGACGTCAACACGTCCAACGACACGACGCGTTACGTGGGACCACCTTCAAGTGGTTGAGGACTCCTTAGCGTTGGCCACACATACGGTCCGACTGTTCGGCGAGGAACAGTTGTACGTGCTTAAGTCTATCGACCGTGGGATCTATATTCCCCAAGACACGCCAGCGTTGGAAAGTGAGCTCCACGTTCTCGAACGAGTGGGTGGCCGCGACCACATTGCCCGGCTCGTCGCCGTAGTGGTCTCGGAGAATCCCTACAGTAGTACGCCGACACGAACGACGGACACGGTGGACACGGTGGATACGACGGACTTGGTAAACGGGGCCAGTCAAACGACACACTACACTGTTTTACGTGGACTCCTCCTCGAATACTATCCGGGCGGTACATTAGAAACCGTACTGAAGACAAAGTCCGACACCGAGAGGCCCTGGGTTCGGTGGGCATCGCAGTTGTGCACCGCCGTGGCGGCAATGCACGTACATAACTTTACGCACATGGACATTAAGACGTCCAACATGGTCATTGATGACAAGGACAATTTGGTCTTGATTGATGTTGGTGGCGCAGGTGGATATACACGGGGATGGCTTTCGCCGCACATGGAGTCCTTGGAAAAACATGGGGAACCTTTGGATGCGCCTCTGGCGGACAGGAAAGAGAACGACATGTGGGCTGTCGGCAAAACGTTGCTTCTCATGGCGACAGGCGACGAAAAGCACGGCCAAGCCGTCCAGGCGGAAGCACGCAAGTTCATGGCTGACCCGCCCCTCGTCACCCTGCACCAAACGGCGGCGGCACTCGAACATCTGCCCGAACAAGAAACTAAGTAAACCACAAATCCGGGCTCCCTGAATCTCAAACCGCTACTGATACATGGACCAGTCGACGTCGGAAGACGCGAAATCCCCGTCATAACGAGAGCCTATCGTGATAAAAAGTCGTTTAGCTTGAATACACCGCATGCCGTCTGCCAGGTTTCCTATACTTTGCTTTCTTATTTGGCTTTTACTTACCAGGTCCTTCACGCTTGCCGCCCGCCGCTTTGTCGCTGCCAGACCAGTTGCACCAATTCAGTGTAGTTGAATTCACCTCACTCCTGAATCACAAGCCCGCTCGTCTTCGACCGCATCGTCGCAGGGAGTGACCAGGTCTTTGATATAGTGGCCGCACTTATAGACGCGAATGTTAAACTTACACATGGTGATATAAGGAAGTCTGGAGAGCGGTTCTTAAACGTTGGAATGGGTGTTTGCTGCAAAGCTAGGATAGAGCCAGAACACGAAAATTAATCAGAGAGAATGTCTGCATTCTCATAGACATAGAAAAAGAGTAGGGCCCAGCTCCGTGACCTTTTATGGCACGCATCTTCTAGCTGCCATTTTCCCCGTCTGCCTTTGTTTTTCTCTGCCGGGAACGAGCAAGCAAACCCGAGAGATGGATGAAATGGCGTGAATCACATTACTGGAACGTCAGCGTGGCAAGCACAGGTGCTGCCTATCCAGGGTAGTATTATAGATGCCTCACTACCAAGACGAGTATGTTTCTCTGCAAACCCCCACGCTCACAACTCCTCATTTTGCACATTGAAAACGAGGCGGACTTTGACCTTACTATTATGTTTTTTTGTGTGCGCCATGTGTGGGTGGGAAGGGGGGAGGTGGTGTGCCACGATTTAAACTAATAAGACTCTTATTTTTCCTAACCTCCCAACTACCTACGTAGACTGTCGACTCTACTTTGCCGGCACTGTAAACTGTCACTCTCTTTTAACTCCCATCCCATGTTTATGTGTAATCGTGGGTATCCTACGTAAAAAATGACTTTGAACATTACGCATGTCGCGAACGCGTCGATGGCCACGCAACATCCTCTCACTCTTACATTAAATTAAAATGGACGGCTGCCAAATCCAAGAGTGGCTAACCATATTCAATTTCGTCCCACGCATCGACGATCACGATAATCACGTTCTAAACGAAATAACTATCGAAAACTACCAAGAAAAAAAGAACCTCCCCTCGTCAGTGGCCAGGTACAACCGTAACTTAACGTTACGACTCGATACGTATTTATTTAAGCCGTTATACATGTCATGATCGATCCGTGGCCCTTTTCCTTAAATACTAGGACTGTAAGAATTAGTCTCTGTTACAATACACACCTATCTTCGCCCTCGAAACCAACACTTTTCATCAACTAATCTATGTGAAGACCTACCCAACAACTAATCATAACATTAACTTATATAATATAAACGGTGTAGTTAAAAACCAACCTTTACGTTGAAGACGTATCTAACAACTACTTATAACAATAGACGTGTATACTTACGTACGTCTGTGTAGGTATGTTTAGCGTATGTGCTAGGCGATTTACAGGGACGTTAATGAAGTTTTTTGGCGGGTATAATATGTAACCTCGCGAGCCTTGTTGTATTGAGTACAGCGACGGAACGAGGGTGTATAAGTTGTTGTAAGTGGCTTAAGTGAAAGGTTGTAAAGGATCCAACCTGTCCGTCTTTTATTCTCGTAAATAAAAAAGATTAGAAACGAGTTGAAGTCTCCCTCGTCTCTCCTTGATACTTTATCCTTTTTCTTTTCTTCTTTTCTTCTTTTCTTCTTCCTCGTCCGATCTGTCTTCTTTCTCTTCAATAGACAATTTGTGACCATTTTCTTCTCCGCCAGTTCACCCTTGTCGGATATAAAGGCAGCGACTGCTCTGCACTCTGCACGAGAGGCTGTTGACGTACCACCGCCCCCTTTCTCCTCAAAGCAGCCCCGATACGATACACTTCCACGGCCACCCAAGCCTGGCTCCCGCAGTATACGAGACAGGGCCGACGCCTATTCCAAACGCTACGCTTGTCTATAGTAGGAAGGACTTAAAGAGTAAGAGGAATCCGATGCACCGCCGCCAAATACTTCCTCGGACGGTAACGCGCCGGAGGGTCAGGAGCAGCGCTCCACGCCAACACCACAGGTGCATCTACGATGGACTGTTGCAGGCACAACGTTGATTATCTGCCAGGGCAAGGACGAAGTGGACCGGCAGCTATGGTTCACAGCAAACAAGAGCAGCGAGACTAAACAGGAAATCAGGATTGATTCTGCAAACCGGAACAAGTACGAAACCATGGTTAAAAATGAACATGAAGGCGAAATGAAACTGAACAGTGACAATTGGCAACAAGAGGAAACACGAGTAAAGAAAAGGAACCAAAAATGTAGGAATAAAAGAAAAAGACTAAAACGATAAGCAATTATAATGACAGAAGACTCCTTCTCTGGGTGGCCAGTCTATATTGCGTCTCCCCATGGCTCTCCATCGCTTCCACGAATCGCACATCGTGCGTATTAATGCAGCGTGTCTGCTGCCACCTTGCTCTTCAGCGTGGTCAGAACAGCTCCGTCCCGATACGTCCCGTCTCCACGTCTCGACCCGCGCCCTCGTAACATACTTAACAGGCGCACTGCCCTGCAGCTTGCGTGTTGGAGCCCTCGGGCGCGAGGCTGACACCTGGCCGCTGGCCGGGCCGCGCGCGGCCGCCGGGACCGACCTGGTCGGTCGGCAGCTTCTTTGCTATCGCAGTGAACAGCTCGGTGACGTTCTCGGCGGTCTTGGCAGACGTCTCAAAGAAGAGCAGGCCGGCCTCCTTGGCATACGCCTCGGCTTCGGCCGTGGGGATGGCGCGCTTGTCGGGCTGCTCGGTGACAAGATCGAGTTTGTTGCCGGCGAGGGCGATGATGATGTTTTCGTTGGCCTGGCGCTGCAGTTCCTTGACCCACGCCTTGGCCTTGTCGAGAGAGGACTGAGCGTGTTAGCGATCAAGAGACGTACTGGTACGGGCAAACAAGCGAGCGAAGCGAGGACAGATAAAACTTACAGTCTGGGTAATGTCGTAGACGACGACGGCGCAGTTGGCGTTGCGGTAGTACATGGGGGCAAGGGACTTGTAGCGCTCCTGGCCGGCGGTATCCCAAATCTCAAACTTGACTGTGGTGGCCTCGTCGAGCGAGATGGTCTGCGTTAAGAAGGCGGCGCCGATGGTGGATTCCCGATACGAGTCGAACTGGTCCTTGACGAAGCGGAGGACGATCGAGCTCTGGTTTGGTTAGTCTGGTAAACGGTGCAACACACAGGCTCGCCGACGCCGTTGACGACAACGTACCTTGCCGACAGCGGACTCGCCGAGCAGCACGAGCTTAAACTGCGCAAAGCGGTTGCTCAGGCCGCGGGCACCGGGGGGACCACGAGCAGCCATGGTGGCGATGTGTGTGGTTGTGAAAGCGGTGGTTGAAGAGAGAAGGGAACGGTGTCGTCGTGTCGTCGCGATGGTAGGCGACGATGCAGTGGCGCGCAAAGGATAAACAGGAGTTTCGTCTAGTCTAGTCTGGAAAGAAACGCTCGGACGTTGTGCAAGGCCGATGTGTTCGGTGGACGAAGACGGCGGCAGTGATCGGCGAATGCAAGATGAAGTCGATGATGAAATGACAGGGCGAGAGAGATGTGCGGCAGTGGGCGTGTGCGGACTGCGGTGCGCCGGGAGGTGGGCGAGAACGGAGAAATGAGGCTGTCAAACGGTGCGAGTGATTATGCGGTGATGCAGAGGCCGTCGATGTGCAGAACGTGACAAGGCAGGTACGAGGGGCGTGAGGCGTTGAGGATGAAGTAATGTCCAGGAACCAAGGGAAAGAGCCCCCGAGAGTGGTTGTGTAATTGCTGGTTGGCTCGTGTGGACTGGCACGACTGTTAGATTGTTGGGAAGGGGCGACCCAGAAGGAAATTGGTGCTTTCATGGATGCCTTGGACAGCGGCCCCCGGAACTGGTAGTGGCTGGGCTCCTGCCGTGGCTCGGCTGTCCAGCGACAAACGATAGAGGGGTTGGTGCTGCCGCCAGCCTAGTTCCATTCTTCACTGCGCCGTGGCTGCCCGCTCTTGCCTTGAATTTCCAGTTTCTGTTTTCTCAGTCAGCTGCCGCACCTCCCAAAACGGACTAAAGTGAGTAGCACGTGACTGCACAAGAGAGAGAGTTCTGTGGTCTGCAGTGGCAGAGTGGGGCACTTCCACCGGTTTGGGACGACTACCAGCCAATAATAATGTAGCGTTAGGCAGGGTGACGACACCAGGAGACCAAGAAAGACCGACCGGCCAGGCCCTGGCAGGTGCAATTTGGCGGCGCTTGGAGTCCACGCTATTCTGGCGTACGTGTTTGCTACAGGCCAAAAGGGGATGCGATGCCAGATCAAGTGTCGATGCTTCGTGCTCTCCATGTCCACGCCATTTCTGTTTCCGCACGTCTCTCGCCAACACGACGCCCGCCATTCTCCGGCCGGCCGAAAAGCTTCCCTGAGCGATATTCGACGCTGTCTGCGGCCTGTTTTCATACACGGCCCGACAACCGTGCCAAAATAGCTCGAAATAGCTCGAATCAGCTGTCAACACCTCGGCATCAACAAGGAACATCGACATCGTCAGTCGTCCTCCCACCCCCCACCAACCCTCCCCCGCACCGCCCGCCATGGCGTTTCCGTTCCGCGACATCAATGTCCAGGTCAGCCCCGACTCCTATGTCTTCAAGTCGCCGTCCACGCCCAACGCCCCGGCCCTGACCATCGACCGCCCGACCGGCGAGGTCCGTCTCAACGATGCGGCGCTTCTGTCTGGCAAGCGTGTGACGCGCGTGTTCAGCATCAAGGGCATCCTCGGCATGATCCAGCTGCGCCTGGACAAGTACGTCATCGTCATCACCAAGGACGAGCACGTCGGCCGCCTCAAGGGCCACATGGTCCACCGCATTGTGCAGGTCGATGTCTTGCCCGTCCACGAGCGCCAGCTGAGCGACCCGGACGAGGACCGCTTCCTGAGCCTGCTGCGTGGCTTTTTGAAGTCCGGCTCCATGTACTTCTCCTACACCCTCGACCTCACCAACAGCTTCCAGCGCCAGGTCGCGCAGCAGGACGCCGCGAGCGCGGCCGGCCACGCCGAGGCCCCGCTCTGGATGCGCGCCGACGACCGCTTCTTCTGGAACCGCTTTGTGCAGTCGGACTTTGTCGAGTACCGCCACCGCGGCGCCCGCGGCCAGCTCGGCGTCCAGGCCGGCATCGATCCCTACATCCTGCCCGTCATGTTCGGCATGCTCGAGATCCACCCGACGACCTTCCGCGGCCGGCCGCTGACCATTGCGCTCATCACCCGCCGCTCGCGCTTCCGCGCCGGCACGCGTTTCTTCTCGCGCGGCATCGATGAGGATGGCCACGTGGCCAACTACAACGAGACCGAGCAGATCGTCGTCCTCAACGACAGCGGCCAGAGCAACCTGGCCGGCTACTCGGGGACCGGCGACATGCAGACGGGTCGCCAGCTGGTGGGCGATGCTGGCAACAAAACCGCCGGCACCGAGACCCAGATCCTGTCGTACGTGCAGACCCGGGGCAGCGTGCCCGTCTTCTGGAGCGAGATCAACAACCTCAAGTACACGCCGCGTCTGGAGGTGCGCGGCGATGCCGGCGGCATCGAGGCCGCCTTTCCTGCCGCCAGCGCCCACTTTTCCGAACAGGTGCGCATCTACGGCGACAACTACCTCGTCAACCTCGTCAACCAAAAGGGCCGCGAGCGCCGCGTCAAGGAGGCCTATGAGAGCATGATCAAGTTCTTCCAGGGCGGCGCCGCCGGACGCGGCGGCAGCAGCAGCAGCAGCAAGGAGCTCAGCGAGAAGCTGCACGCCCTCGACGGGACCACCCCTGCGGCCGCCGCAGCCGCAGCGTCCCGCCGCGGTGGCAGCGTGGGCGGTTTCGCCGAGAGCCAAAAGTACACGCAGAGCCAGCTGGACCGCGTGCACTACATCTACTTTGATTTCCACAGCGAGACCAAGGGCCAGCGCCTCGACCGCGCCAAGCTGCTGCTCGACCAGATGCACGATGCCCTCATTGCCCAGCAGTACTTCCGCGCCGCGGACCTGCCTGGCCACGGCGGCGTGGCCGCCCGCCTGGAGCCCCGCACCGTGCAGACGTCTGTCGTGCGCACCAACTGCATGGACTGCCTCGACCGCACCAACGTCGTCCAGAGCATGCTGGCCCGCTGGACCCTCGAGCGCATGTTTGCCGATCTCGGCATCATGGCCCGCGGCGGCACGCTGGTGGACCAGGACCCGGCCTTTGAGGTGCTCTTCCGCAACCTGTGGGCCGACAACGCCGACCGCGTCGCCGAGAGCTATGCGGGCACCGGCGCCATGAAGACGGACATGACGCGCCTCGGCCGACGCACCAAGGTGGGCGCCCTGCGCGACGGCCAGGTCGCCATCACGCGGTACTGCCGCAACAACTTCTTGGACGGCCCCCGCCAAGACGCCTTTGATTTGTTCTTGGGCGCCTACGCGCCCAGCGAGGCCACCGCCCACTTCGTATTTGCCGATCGCCGCCCCGTGCTGATTCAGGCCGTGCCCTACGTGCTGGCCTTTGCCGTCTTCTTTTTGCTGGTCGGCCTGTTTACGAGACGGCTGCCCGACGCGGCCGTGCTGCCGATGCGCTTTTTCCTGCTGTTCTGGGCCGCTGTGGCCGCCTACAGCGGCCGCTTTGTCCTCCGCAGCGGCGAGCTGTACGTCAACTGGCCCAAGCTGATCCCGCGCCCGGCGTCGGTCGAGGACTACCACGCGGCCTTGACCAAGGCGCGCAAGGACAAGCTGCTGGGCGCCTTTGTGGCCCGCCACGAGCGCGGCCTCAGCACCGCGCGGTATATGAGTGCCGAGGAGGGCAAGAAGAGGATTGAGTAGAAAATGGTGTCCCGGCAAGACATTTCTTCCGTATGTTGCTTTGTCTGCCCCTCTTTCTTTTTCGCGTTGACTGTAGCCACTGTAGACTTTCCCTTGTTGACACTGGCGATGTTGTTGATCTATGTATTTGTTTTGTATTGCTCCCTTCTGGGCTTCTCCTGGGTCATTTACTTTTTAATCGTTTTTGCAAGGAATGCGTCTTGATGCTGCAGCGTTTTAGAAATACATGTAATTTAGATTCTATCGTCGGGTCCTGATTCGATCACGTTGTGTCCAAGTGAAGCGAAGCATAATGAAAGCGTTGGATTAAAAGTCATATAAAAAGGTGCAAATGTCATACACTATGGTAGATAATAGGAAATGTCGTCTTTGGGTATCGTCCAGAACAAAAGAACATTGCGGAGAGGTGAGCAGAACGTAGAAAAGATGAAGACAGGAAACGAAAAATAGGAATGAACGCCATGCTGCGCGCTCACGTTATGCTCAGCGAATTTTTTGGAAAAGAGCAAGAGGAAATGGGATACGGGCGTAAAAAGGAACGTAGGAGAAAAAAAAGACGAAAAGGGAAAAAGGTAAAAAAAAGCAAAAAAAAAGTGCCATCGGCATATCGTGACCTCCATCACAGACACAGCAGCCAGCGCACACCGGCGTAGATTCCGCGGCCAAAGCCCAGCACGATCCGCGCCAGCATCACCACGAACCACACATACCACATGAAGCCCACCAACAGCCACTCCACCGTCAGCCAGCCGGCCCGCCGCACCCATCGGAACCGCCGGCGCCGGCGCCGCATCATCTTGTCGATGCTGTCCTCGACACGCTTGACCTGCAGCCGCTGCACCGCCATAAGGTCGCGCGTGACCTCGTCGGCCTCGTCGGCCGCCTGGCTGGCAAGCCCGGAGAGGTCGACCGCCACGCGCGAGCGGACGCGCTCGATGCGTTGGCGCAGCTGCGGGACGGTGGTGTTGGCAAACGTCTCGGCCGACACCTGCCACGACTGGCCGGAGCGCTGAACGGCGCTGCCGAGCACCTGCGCGGCGAGCGGGTAGAGCTCGACCTGCTTGATGGGGCGGCGGGCCAGTTCGGCCGGATTGGGTCCGTAGGCGGCAATGTCGGCCCAAGTCAGCGACTGTTCGCCGTTGCTGCCGCGCACGATAATGGGGCCGCTGGTATCCCCCTTGGGGATCATTGCACCGGCACCGTCGTCGTCGTCGTCGTCGTCGTCGTACTCACGGTTGACATCCTTATCAGTCTCGTCGTCGGCATCCGCACTGGTGTCGACCACTGCTGCGTCCAGGGCTGTAGAGGACCGTCTTCTAGTGCCCCTATTTGCCTTGCTATTTCCGTTGGCTTTCCCGTTGGCTTTCCCATTGCCGGTCCCATTGCCAGTCCAAGATCGTACAAGCACCATGGGCTCGTTGGCACGCCGAGACAGCTCTTTGGCCAACACGGCCGAACTGTACATGGAGGCCCGCAGGCGCGCGAGCTCACGGCGCGACAATGGGCCGTGGTTGTTCTTGCCGTGGTAGGCGGGCTGCGATAGCGACCAGCGAGGGCGACTGCCTTTGATCCCGCTCGTAGCCGATGCGGTGCTAAACTTGCGCGGCAGCGGCTGCAGGCCAAGGCCAAGACTGCCCGAGATGGAAGATGCCGCGCCACTAACACGGCTGCTACGGCGTGATCTGGTGTCGCTCTCCGAGTAATCCGAGTCTTGGGAGCCGCGGTATGGCTGCTGTAACTGTCGGCCCAGAGGCTGCAGGGACGAGTTGCGCCGGCGAGCTGCCGCTGGTTCCTCGCCGAGCTGCTTCGCATTGTTGGCTACATCGTCGGTACTGGGTGAGGCATCGCTCACATCGATCCGGGGCGGTTTGAGGCGCTCGAAGCGCCCCGATTGGCGGCTTGGAGGGCGGTGTAAGGCATGTCCGCCACCGCGACCAAACGATGGCATGATATTGAGGTAGTGTTTTTCATTGGTCTTGGTGGTTGTGCGAAACTTGTCTGCACCCTGTGGCTCTGACCCGGCATTGGCAGAGGGCGACCGGGAGTGAATCGGCGAGTTCCTAAAGCGGCCCCTCGGTGCCGCCTCGGGTTCAGAGTCATCATCGGACGAGGACTGGGACACGTGGGCAGCAGCGCCCATAGTACTAGCAGAAGCAGGGGCCGCAGCGTCACCATAGAGGGGCTCGCTGCCTTCACGACGCCACAAGATGTCGCTGACCTTGGACACACCGCTCCGCAGCACAGTGTCAATGCGTGGGCCGCCCTTGAAGAAACCACGCAGCGTGCCAGCCGACGAATCCCCCTCCTCGCTGCGGTGATGACTATGACTGCCGTGGTTGGCAAGGCCGGCGATGCTGCTGTGTGATCTGTGGGTATCAAACGTGCCCGCATTTGTACGTGTTCTCACTTTTCGGATGGGACTATGCGTGGCCTTGGCCTCGTTGCTGGACGCAGCACGGAGGTCGTCTAGGAGCGTGCTCACAGCAGTGAGGGGCGCAGAGGTAGACTCGACGTATTCTTGGTATTTCGGCTGCGCCTCCTGGACTTGCTGTTGCGTCTGTTGCGTCTGTTGCTGCTGTAGCTGCTGTGCTGGCGCCCTTGATCGTGTACTAGGATCCCAGGAATCATCCCCGCGGTCAAGCATAATGTTGTGTGCACGGTCCCGTTCCCGTTCTCGGTCCCGGCTGTGGTCGCGGAACATGCTTTTGACCTTGCCAAAAGTACGGTGGCGCGGTGGCGATGCAGCTCGGCTGGATGGCGGTGAGAGATCACCGCCAAGGGGAGGCACAAATCCGAGGCCATCTTTGGAGAAGGGCCGCAGTTCTGGCGACGTGGGCCGTGACGAGTCGTAGTCCAGAGACAGGCGACGACCCACCGACGGGATCTCAAGGCTAGCCCGGCCCTGTTTCGAAGGAGAATCAACGGACGCCGCCGCCGTTGTACTTGTAGGACGTTGAGCTGGCGATGCCGAGTCGGGCTGTGCTCGTTTAGCATTTGAGGGTGTGTTGCTTGTAGATACGGTCGGAGGTCCGTTTGCAAGTTTCTGCTCCTTTGAGGCGGCAGTAGAGGTGGCGGTAGCCGCATTCTCCTCCGTCTCACGACTCTCCTTGGCCATTTTGTCCATCATGGTCCTCTTGAGCACCTCGACACCGTTGGCCGTGCCGGAATCCGGCCGGGCACGATAGAACCGCCTCCTGTCATTGTCTGAATCGGATGTGTCGGAAAACGAACCCCGACGAAGACGCTGGCCATCGTGGCTGTGGACGGAGCTGTTGTGGCGGTGGCGGAATGACCGCAGCTCGCTGAGTTTCTGCCGCGCACGCTTCCGGGCGGAGCTAGCCGACAATTGCTCGGGCTCGGGCGAGTGCCCGGCCGCTTTGAGCTGCCCCCCCACGGGGAGAGCATACAACGGCCGCGAGCTCGCGCCAGCAATACCTACATCGGCGGTCGGCATCGAAAAGGTTGCGGGTGCGGTAGAGTCGGATTGATCAGCTCCCGCCATGGCACCAACCATGCCATCATCTCCTCTCTGAGAGATGGGGCGGTATAGCGCCGAATCCTGCGGGAACACGCGCCGCCAGTGGTGGTCTTCGACGAGCTTCATGTTGTCGCCCTGCTCCAGCCAGTAAACGTCGGCGATCATATCGGCCGGGTCGATAATCCAATCGATACGGGGCCGCTTGGGCTTGGTCAGCGCGGTCTGGCCGGCGGCACGTGAGATGGACGGCGGCGAGCTTTGAAGCGCGGCACCGGCGTCGGCAGTATGAAAGGCGGGTAGCGTGTAGCCGCCGAGCATGCGGCCTTGGCCAGTAGCGGTCCATTTGGCCACGTCGTCGATCCAGTCGGTGGTCCTAATCACGTCACCAAACCCCTGGGCCTGGCCGTCGATGGTCCTGCGCTCACGGACACGCACTTTGCGGTTTCGGATGTACTGTAGGGGGTTGTAGGGCCGGCCAAGGGGGGTAGAGCTCAGAACGGGGTCACCGTCGCTATTTGTTCCCGTCATGAAGAGCGGCTGGGGCTGGCCGGGGGTTGCGGACGTGGTCGGGGGCGAGCCGAGGCTCGTGGCGCGGCTGCGGGACGTGGCGTCCGGAGTAAGGGGTGGAATGAGTTCAAGCAACCGCCTGTGCTGGGCCAAGAGCTCGAGGTAGTCCTTCGCCTTTTGAGCTCGGGCTAATGTTGACTGCGAAAAGTGATAGCGGTACGGCCCTTGGCCACCGAGCGTGCCGTCAGGCAGCAGTTCAAACGGGGGCTGCAAAGGGCTGCCGGTGCTGGTGCTCCCGTGTGGATGCTGCCCGCTGGGAAACTGGCCAGACGAGGACACGCGGCCGCTGCCAGCTCGATCGGGCTTGGGCGACATGGTGCGGGAGATTCTGCGCTGCTGTTGCAGCTGGCGCAACAGGCTGCCACCGACGGCGCTATCCGGGAGCGGTGAGAGGCGCGGCGGCAGCTGCTGCGAGACGGTACGACGAGCAGCACGACGGCGCGACTCGCTGAGGTTGAGGGCCATGTTGACGATCTGGGCCGAGTCGAGGTCGAGAGGCTGCGTGCCGAGTTGGGTCCTGGGCTGGGCCTGTACAGCAGGTACAGCAGGTGCGGCAGGCGGGGCGGCTGCAGCTGCACTCTCTGGCGTCTGCGCTCGCGCCGTGCCGGATGTCGACGTATCATGGCTCCGTCTCGACGAGCCATTGTTGTGGACGCTGTCCGGCGTGTTGATGTCGGTATTTGCAGTCAAGGTGGGTGTATGCTTTGTATTCTTTTCTGGCGTTTCAGCTGCGACAGCAGCGCGCAAGCCGGCACCAGCAGCACGACCGAAGCTGGTCCGGCCCGTATGAGAGCCAACCGTTGATTCACGCTGCGAGGACCGCGTGTGAGTCGATGTCGGCTTGCCGTGGCTGCTGGATGCGTGGCCTTTGCTCGAGAGGGGATCGGCCAGCAAGAAAGCGCCGCTGGATCGGTTATGTCGGTGGGAGGTACGATGGCTTGCTGTGCGGGCTGCGCTTGTATTTACGGGTGAGTTTGCGGGCAGGTTCGTCGGCTGTATCGAGTTTGTGTACGATTTCGAGCTTGAGGGTGAAGGGGAGAGTTCGTAGTTTTGCCGAGACGAGGAAGAGGATACAGGTGTGAGGTAGACATTGTCGGGGTTGTGGTCGTGGTGGCCCTGTAGCTGGCGAGGGGAGGCGCCATCGGACGAGGCCAGGGCATTGGGCTGAAGGCGTGCCGCTGATGTTGCTGTTGGCCCTGTTGTAGATGGCGATGGTATCTCGTTGGAGTGTCTTGGAGCAGACGGCGACGGAGACAGAGAGCCGCCAGTCGAGCCGCCAAAGCTGGGGTCCCGCGAGGCCGCGCTGGCGGCCTCGTGGAGGCTGTCGGCCATGTAGGTCGGTGAGGACGCAGTATCTAGCTTTGTATGCGAGATGTCGTCGTGTCGTAACGCCTCGTCAGGAGGGACCGTCTGGTCGATGGACAGGATTGACGTGGATATGAAGTCGCCAAGTGTCTGTGGAATATCCGGTCACATGTCCATAGCGACGACACGGGTAAGGAAATGGTTGCGAGAGGAGGGGAAGGTCGAATGCAGCGAGGAGATTATGCGTCCTCGTGTTCAGCTGCTGGCCATGCTCCTCGTAGCAGTCGAATGATGCAGCTGACGGCTTAGGGAAGCTGGTCAAAAAGGAGGAAGCCGAAGAATCGTGCTGTCGTCAAAGGCCGAGGTAGGACGACCGAGCGCGATGACGTGGCCGGGCGAACGGCGAATACTGTCGACGCAAGGACGCAAGAGGAAAATCGAATGGACGCTGGTCATACGAGTGTCGGCATGTCAGGAGGAGAAAGCCGCTGGGTGTGTGACGGAAGACGAAGGGCAGAAACGAATGAGGTATCGTGGAGATGGTAGGACAGGGGCTGAAGGGGGAGTGGCTTCCAAGACGGTTGCGTTGCACCTTCCTTCACGTGTGAAGAGAGAGACGGCTCTTGCCTCGTCGTGACAAATGGGGTGACGAGAATGGCAAGAGCGAAACAGGAAAAAGCCAAAAGATGCAGTCACGCTTTCGTCGAACGACCAGTTTGGCAGCTGCACGTCGTAGCATGCGCGCCGGTCTAATGTGCGGGCTGCAGGCTGCAGTGGAAAGGGCGTCTGTTGGCCGTGCTAGCGTTGCTGCCGCTTCCCCCAAAATCAGGGAAGGAGGCAGCTGGTGATCAGTAACACAATTACTAATTAGCGAGTAAAGTGACGGTGTGGAGGCATGTCTGGGCCCCAGAAAGCTGTTAATAGCTAGTTTTGTTGGTGAGTCCCCTAAATACAGTCCCTAAATGACCCCTAGAGCAGCGATCGCCCGCCCACTGTTTGGCCCCTGTAGCGGACATTTTGCCCTTTTGTCCGGTCTGGTTCTTTTTAGTAGTTCCAGGCCCTTTAGGATCCATTCTTGCGACGTATTTAGCACACGGACAGACCCACAATAGGCCCATAAATCTTGATATCGGCTGCCTCCAGCTATGACAATTGGCCGATGGCGAGGGCAGGGGCGGCAATTGCGGGCGTCTGGCCAGGCCATGGCCAAGTTGGCTAGCGGCCGTCAGAACCTTAAGATAGAAACAGGCGAGACAGGACAGGGCTTTAAAAACGCGGCTTACATAGGATCCCAGGCATCGCAAAGACATCGCAAAGACGGTCTCGCATGTCGAGTTCACGTTATGGATATTTTTTATAAGAAATATGTAAAGAACGACTTGATAATATGCATAACATGATGATGGGAATATGATTGCAATGGCCGGTTGCTAAACTACGGGCATGATAATGAAAGGGCATACGCAGAAAACGACATATGAAACGGTGCAACCCAAAACGCCGGCGACGTCCAGTCACATGCAAAACGAGCGTCTCTGTCCTCTCTAAAACACCGTCAATGCACTCACGTAGCCGTTGCGCAGCACCTCAAAGACCAGGCCCGGGAACCCGTACAGTGTCGTCGTCGAGTCCTCTGTGCCCTTGACTCCGCGCAACGTGCTGCTGCCGCTGGTTCCAGCGTTGCCTCCCCCACCGCCGCGACCGCCCCGGCCGGCGCCGCTCGAGGCGACCCGCTGGCTCTCCTCCCAGCCGCCCAGAAGCTCGATGCTGCTGCCGGGGCTGTCGCCCCAGCCGCGGTTGAGCACCATGCCGCGCTGGCGCTGGCGGGCCTCCTCGTCGGAGGCATAGATGGGCCGCCAGGCGCGGTGGAGCTGCTCCTCGATCTGGGCAAAGGGCGACTCAGAATCGACGGTGGCGCCGGGCGGCGCGTAGGCAATGGACCAGCGACAGCGGCGGTGGCGGTTGAACGGGTAGGAGCCGGGGACGTTGCCGTGCAGGACAAGTTTGGTGGCCACGAGGCGGTCGGGGCCCGTGGTCTTGAGGGGCCGTTCGGGCGGAGGCGCACCACCACCACCGGCCTCCAGCGATGGTGGCGGCCGCGAGGGCGTGGTGGGCGTCGAGACGAGGACGTCAAAGCCGAGGTAAAAGTAGTTGAAAAAGCACTCGCTCGACACGTTGCCCGTCATCAATTCGTCCTCTGCCGCGTCGTCGCCGTCGTCATCGTCCGAGGACGCCGTCGGGATCGAGGACTGGTCCGTATCCGTCAGCGTTTCGTCGGGACGCCGGCCGTGTCCGGCGTTGTAGCTGTGCGGGTCGCTGGTGCCGAGACTGCCCGCAGCATGGGTGGTGGGCCGTCGCGAGCGGCTGGTGCTGGCGGTGCGGATCTTGTGGATGTACATGCGCTGGTCGCTCTTGCGGTAGATGGCGTCGGGCGGGCCCAGCTCGGCGACGAGCTCCTGCGGTGTTGTCTCGGCCAGTGTGATCCAAAAAAAAGACGACGCGTCGGCCGAAGCAGCCGCGTCGTCAGTGGACGTCGGCTGTGCTGGTTGTGCCCATCGACGAAACAGTTGCAGCTTGCCGCCGCCGTGGATGTTGACCAGCGACACCTCGTCGGGCGCGACGTCTTTGCCCTTGGCAAGGGGTGTAAACGACTTGATGGCCGGCAGCACCTCGGTCCACAAGTGGTCGCGCGCCTGGGCCCATGAGTCGCCGCTGAAGACGGCCATGGACACCGCAGCCAGGTTGCTGGGCGTCGACAGCAGCGACACGACATCCTTGTCCGGCGAGTAGGCAGACCGTGCCATCGGAAAGGTAAAGGCGACGCCGGGATACGACAGAACATACGTCCCAGTGTTGTTGCTGCTGTTTCCATTTCCCTCGCCCGGGACAAATTCGCCGTCGTAGGTCGGGCCGAGGAAGCGCGAGTAGATGTGCCGAAAGGTCGGACCGCCAGTAGGCGCCGGCGCGTCGGCGCTGCTGGGCTTGACCAGGTCGCGGTCCTTATTCTGCTCCCTGAAAAATATGTGGTTTTTGGTGAAGTCGAGCACTTCGATCAGCCGCAGTCGCTGTTCGGGGCCGTCGAAGCGCAGGCGGAGGCCGTTGGCCGGCAGGGCGAGGACGACGGGGTCCCGGACGGGGTCGGTTGGGGAGTAGGTGAGGTCGAGTTTTGGGAAACGGTGAGGCTCGGCCTTGAGCCGCGTCAGAATGTCATGAAGGGATGCGCCAAGGACTGTGACATATGGGTGAAGTGGTCAGTAGGGTCATGACACGCTTGTTTCTGTACCGCCCCGCATTGTTCTTTGCAGCTCACCTAGAAAGCCCAGCGCCCGTCCCGGGTGGAGCTGTGCTGTGAAGAGAGACATGGCCGGGGGATGGGAAGGGGGCTTGATAGGGAGGCTGTCGAAAAGAGAAGTTTGCGGGGATATATCGATCGAACCTGGAGAGACGATGGCCAGTGAGTCGTCTCCCGAGCAAAGGCCAGCTCCTCGAGGTTCCGCGAGCGCTCAATTTCGCAATGTCGTCGCTTGTCACGCTGATGGCCTTTAGTGAGTTTACGATGGAGTGAGGAAAGGAGAAAATGAAGGAGAGAGGTTTGGAGAGGAGAGAAATAGACGTTCTGTCTTCCAAAGTTGTCAGGTGCGAGTCACTACCCGCGATGCCTTGTGACGCCGTTGGTCGCTCCTGCCCGCCATGGACGCGGGACGGCGTGCCTGCTGTGGCGGGGCAGCTCTAGGTGAGACGTCATATGGCAGGTCCCTTCGGCGCTAAGCCCAGTGGGGCCAGGCCGCGCCAACTGACGCCAGTTACCGGCAGGCGGCAGGCGGCAGGCGGCAGTCGACGGTGGAATAGAGGCCAATATACAAAAGCCATCTGAGCTGCCAACAGATTTGGAACAATTTACACCTCAATTCGCACCTCACTTGACTCAACTCTGCATTCCAACAACACAGAACAGCAACATGATCCGAAGCTGGAAGCAAAACTACGACCAAAGCCGGCAGGAGGGAGTGCACGGTCTGCACAGCGTGAGCGATACGAGCTCAACTCTATTGTCATCACCAACGACAGTTTTTCTTTTGATGCATGTAGACAAGGTGCCCGGATAAGTTGTACAATGTCTCCTGTTTTCATGTTGCAGCCATCAGTGACATCCCTTCTTGACGTTCTAACTGTGACTTGAAACGGTAATCAATTGCTGTCGTCTTCCTGCCTCTGCCTGCTTCTGCATGTCTTCTGCCTGTCTACTGCCTGTATTCTATCTGGCTCCCAATTTCAATCGCAAGTAACGTCATCGCCCTTCATCCCTCAAAACAGACTATTCCATCACATGCACCCCATCTTCTTCGCCGTTGTGGCAACCAGTCACACTCGTCTCCGTGCTTGCCCCCTGTAGCGTTTCCAACGGCACGAAAGCCGCTGTTTGGTGACCTTCCATGCCGGCCGCGACGTTTCTGTCTTCCGTGACGCCGTCTTCTGCGGCAGTTCCGTTGTCTGCCTTGGCCTGCTTACGTGCTGGACGACCGACGCTGTTGCGCACTCTTGGCCGTCCGCGGCCTCGTTTCTGTGTCGGCCGTTCGCTCGGCTCGACGGGCTCTTCGATGGGCGCGCCACGCGTCGTGCTTGTGCTTGTGCTGCCGCCGCAGTTGGCGCCGGCTCGGTTGCGTCGACGGTACGTCGATGGCCGAGAGGACAAGGGTACGCTGGCCTGTGCCAGTGTGTTGGCCTGTGTTTGCGCCCCGGCGTGGGCCTGCGCTCGAGCTCGCGCCTGCTGCACCTCGGCCCTGCGCGTCCGCCCGGGCCACTCGGGTGCCTGTCGCTGCAGACGGCTCGTGCCCTGGCTGCCGGCGCCGCACGACCGCTGGTGATGGCCCTTGGTGTCGCCGCCGTCGTCGCCGTCGTCGACACCCTTCATCTCAATCTCAAAGCGTGCCGTGCCGGTGTGGCCCGTCCAGTGGCCCAGGTCGACCCAGTCGCGGTCGAACCCCGCCGCCACCAGGTACGCCTCGCCCATTTTGATGTTTTGGACGGTAATGTAGTCGGTCAGCAGCTCGAGACGGGGCAGGCTCGCGTCCACCCCGGCTACCACCCCGGCGCCCACAGCCTCCTCCGCCAGGCTGCGCGCGTGCGACGGTGTCGGCTGGTCCCACGACGTGTACGGCCGGTTGTCAAAGAGTTCGCGGTCGCGGACGTCGAGCCGCGCGCGGACGGCCCGGTCAAACTGCTGCTGTTTCTTGAGCTCGCCGCCATATAGTGCGCGGAAGGCTTGCTCTTGGACCACGGTGAGACGCAGCAGCAGCACGGCGTCGCGGTAGCGGTACCAGGACGTCATCTCCTTGACCAGAATCAGCTTCATGGCGTCGGGCAGGTGGTCCCAGCGCGGATTCCGTGGCGGCGGCGGGGGAAAGGCCACGGGACGTCTGGAAGGCATCGCGGGCTGGGGCTGTGGCTCTTGCTGGACGGAACCGGTCTCTGTCTCTGGACGTGTGGCGATGGCTGTTTCGTCGTCGGAGCTGTCTGAGTCGACAATGACAATCACGTCGGGCGTGGACTTGCCGTGCTGGGGTTTGGTCTCGTTCGTTTTGCTGTCGACTTGCGTCTCTGCGTGGGCTTTTGGCCTCTTTGCGTTCGTGGAGGGCACCTCACCCGCGTCGTCCTCGCGCTTTCTCTTCTTGGTCTCCTTGTCACTCTCGTCCTCTTTGGCCCTGCCAGTGTCCTCGGTCTTTCGTCCGCATTTACGCCAGTTGGTGTAGCTGCTTTGGAGGATCGAGTTGCTGGCTTCGAGAAAGTGTGTCAGAAACTCTGCAATGTCCTGTCCGGTCGGAAGAACGGCCTCCACGGGCTTTGACGGATCCGATTGGGCTTGAGACGCTTGGTGGGCGTGTGTCTTTTCCAACTCGAGAATGCGGCCGGCTGTTTTTTGCAGCTGGACCAGGGCGGCACGCGGTGTACGTTCGGGCGGGAGGGCGTTGTTGGTGGTAGTGGTGGCAGTGGTGGCAGTGGTGGTTGTGAAGAATGAATGCAAAAGGTGCTCAAAGCCGACTTGTGCCTGTTGAGAGGATGTGGATGGAGCAGACGCCAGCGTCGTTGCAGTCTTGGATGGTTCAGACGCAGGAGGTTGACGGCTAGGAGGCAAAGGCTCTTGGTGTTTCCTGTGCTGGTGATTGTTTGGTGCAAATACGGACGTTGGGTGGACCAGCCGCCTGTCCGTCGACTCTTGCACTTCATCTATCACTGATGCAGGGTACCTGCCCGGCTGGCTGCGCATGGTCGAAGCACGAAGAGAGTGCATGGTAGTGAAGCGAGGTGTGGTCGTGGAAGCAGAAAGTGAAAAGGTGAGGACAAGCTGAGGACGCTCCCGCGAGGACGTGACATGGAAGTGACAAAATCAAAATTACACAGCAAAACGTCAGCAGGGCGTCAAGAAAGTGAACAAAAGGAAAGATTGAAATGATGTTCAGGATCCAGACGGAATATTTTATATAACACGCCCAAGAAGACGACCACCTCCGTTCCAACGGCCATCTATTCACGTTCCCCCGTCAATGTGCCATGCCACAGTATTTTGGCCGACGTAGAGGTCATTCATGCAAAGGACAATGTCTGCAGCTGGTCGGCAACGGTGGGTCACTTTTGACAAACCTACACTACTCCAGGACGAGAAACGAGTGAATGGGACGGGCCCCGGACCACACAGGTCCGTAATAGAGAATTCACAATGGTGCCCGTCCGCCATCCATGGACTAAAGGTGAAGAACATGCAATGAATCTATGAATCTATAAATCTATTGTGCTCCTTTGCAGTCACCACTGGCTCGGAACGCCTGCTAAAAATACCTCGAAAACATACAGTACAATAAAGCAAACCCGAAAACAAACAATACTCCATTGTTCATGCCATCCAATATGGGCACCCCAGCGCGTGACCTCCTGTATTCAAAAAACCATCGCGCATTCCATGCCGCACAGAGTTCTACAGAGGCACCCCGTCTACTGCACGGTCGTGTCGGTAAATGGCGTAAAGTGGGCGCGGTCCTGGTACCGCGCGCTGTCCAAGTTCGGTCGGCAGGGCTCTGCCGACGGTTCGCGCGAAAAGGCAAGCTCGCTGGCCGCCTCGACGCGGTCGTCGTCCTCGTCCATGGTCTCGTCCACGCTCCGCTTGGCAGGCCGGCTTCGACTTTGTGCGTCGCGCGCAGGGGATGCGTGCGAAGACGGCACGCCGAGAAAGGTGCTGGCTTCGACCCGCGTTGCTCGTGACGGGCGGTCGCTGTCGTCGGCCATGTCCTCCATACGAGCGTCGCCGTGCTTTCCATCATCGCCGGCCATCTCCTGCTCGGCCAGGGCCACGTCCCGCCGCGCAGTCAGCAGGTCGCCAAAGGACAGCAGCATGTGCTTGGCCTCTTCGTCCAGGCTGATGCAGCACCGGATCTGCGACAGGTAGTGCAGCGCGTCGACGAGGCCGATGCCGAACATGGACATCAGGTACGCCGTCACCACCGGCGGCGCGCGCACGTTGCCCGTCTCGCAAAACACGAGCACCTTGCCCGTCGAGACGCCGTGTCCATCTGCCGGCACGTCGTGCAGCATATGGTGGTTGATGCTCTGGACGGCGGCCGGCAGCGCTCGCAGCAGGCCGTCGATGCCGGTGACGTCGACGCACTCGGACCGGATGCCCATCGCCCCGGTGACGTGCTCCACCACGAGCAGCCGTGCGTCGGCCAGCCGGCTGTCCCGCACCGCAATCACCTTGGTGATGCCCGCGTCCTGGAGGAACGCACGGTCGCGCGCCGCATTGGCCGGGCCCAGATACAAAAAGGGGAGCACCTTTTGTGCTTCGCGCCGCATCTCGTATTTCCACGTGTGATAGGACACGGGGCGCTGCCAGTCGCGCTGCTCATACACAAACTCGCCCATAATCTGATGCAGCTGTGGCCGCGTGAGCGTCAACACCGGCGCGTTGCGCATCGTCGGCATCATCACCGCCGTCGCCCTGGACGACGTTGGTGATGCTGGCTCTGTCTCCTTCAGTCCGAGCAGCCGCCTCTTCTCCTGGACCGCCTCGAAAGGCCCCTTCTTGCGTTCCGCGTAGGTGCCGGTGTTGGTGGTTGGTAATGGAATGGGAATGTGCGGAAACGAGGGCGCAGCGCCCTGGTACTCGGCATTGGCGACCACGCCCTCCGGCAGCCGCAAGGAATGACTTGGCCCGGGTTGGAGCACGCCCTCAAGCATATCAAAGCCGCCATCCATGACCGCAACAGGGCCGTGCAAAGTCTTCGGCCACGAGGTAGATGGTGCGCAGATGCGTGAATGCGGCGCCTTGCTTATGAGAATGATTCGCGAAAAAGAGACTCGGCCAGAGAGTCAGGACAGTTCGACGTAGAAACGTCTGCGAACAAACTGCCGCCTCTGGACAATATATTCGTGCTGAGACAACAGGTACGAGGCGTGGCCAGGTGAAGCGAGGTGAGGGCCTGTCAGCGATCAGAGAATAAGAGAAATCGACGCCGATGCGCTCCGAGACACTGCGACACCCAACAGCCGGATGGCGATATTAAAAATTAATCTAGAGCGTCGCCGGGCGGCCGTACGTCCTGCGGTGCGCGGCGGCTGGTGCTCTCTGTCTGTCGTAGCGGGTACTGTGTGTGGCCGCAAAGGACTGCGTTGTTTGATTGTGTGATTTTGAGATTTGTGTATTTTTGTTTTGTGACTTTGCGGCTCAGAAAAGTCGGAGTGACGGGTGAGAACGACTGGACGACTAGCCTGGCTGTGTTTCTAGATTTGGCGCAGCGAATAGCTGCCGGTAGCGCCTTCCGCCAACACAGCCTTGCGAGCGGACATCGGCGCGTCGATCCTGCAAACTCGCCTCACTCACGTAGCTGAACGTGCGGCAGGTGCGATTGGCGAGCTGCGCGACGCCCAGGATTCCGGTTGTTCCTTCCCTCGCCGCCGGGTGCATTCCCATTGGCGACATCGGCCATTCACTTCGTCGTTTGCACTTTCCTCGAGTTTGAAACTCCTTCTCATAACATATACACGACCGTCGCTCTTGCCTCATTCACTCCGAGCAGCATGCAGTCACCACAAAAAAGAAGCCGCAGCTGGCAGCTGCGTCCGCATAAATATGTGACGATGCTCCCATAACTGTCTCCTGCTTTTTCTTCTTCTCTCTTTGTGTTTTTGTGTCTTCTTCTTCTCTCGTAGAACTGCCACTGTCCTCCCGGCAAGCCTATTGTTCCACGGCGAGCCTCATACGACTACACACTCAGCATTTCCTTGTCTCCAGCCGTTGTAGCCATGTCTTCCAGCAAGGTACAGACTGGTTCCAATGCCCTCGACAACGACGACGGAGATGCAGTCCCCCTCTACACTGAAAACGACAAAGTGGGCATTCTCAATCTCACGGCAGCCGCCAACACAGACGTGGACCTCAAAAACAGGGCCCAATGCCCTATTGACGAGCCTCTCGTCTTGACGCTCACCAAGCCCTTTCGCAGGAAGCCCGCGGCGGACCTCGGCGGCCTCAGCGGTCTGCCTCTCGAGCTCGTCTTTGCCATCTGCCGCGAGCTGGACGTCAAGTCGTGCCTTGCCCTCCGCCAGGTCAACCGCCGGGCGCGCGAAATTGTGACGGGCAGCACCGAATACGTCGCCGTGGTCACGCATGCCCTTGGCGTCGTGCAGGCCGTGCTCTGGTCGGGCATGGGCACGCGTGTGACCTTTCCCGACCTGCATCGGCTGCTCTGCACCCATGAGTGCATGATCTGCAGCGTGCCCGACGGCTGGGACAGCTACCGGTTTTACGACTCGCGCGCGCCCATGCAGCGGCCCCTGCTGGCGCCTGGCATCAAGAGCATGGAGGTTGGTCAAGCCGCGCTCGAGCAGGCTATCATGAACCGTCCTCCAAGCGCAATAGACACGAAAATTGCCAGCACGGACAAGACAGAACCGGTCGACGCAGCGCCGCCCGTGCACAAGAAACCGACCGCACTGACGGCGATGCGCATGGCCCAGACGAACGACCAGCACGCCGACCACATCAAGGCCCATGAAATGGCCGCCGGGCTGTACCTGTTCCTGCCGACACTGACGCGGTGCTGCAAGTCGTGCCTCGAAGAGTCGCCCCGGGTCCGCGTTGTGCCGGTCGTCAAACTGCGGACAGCCTTTGACCTGCCGCGGCGCTACTTTCTGCCTTATGTGATCACACCGTGGCTCTCGAAAAACAAGATGCTCGCGCCGCCAGCGCTAGAATTCCGGGCCAGACGCACAAGCCCCCGTCCCGGGTCCGACGGTTACAAGATGAAGGTCGGCATGGTGACCCGGGAGGCGGCGTTGCAGATCCTCTTCGAAGCCGGGTTCTCGGCCAGCCGTGCCGAAGAGATGATTTACATATCTGGGTACCAAGACGAATTTAGCTGGTGGAGCGAGTTGAAAGAGCGAGAGAAGTACACTGTCATGATGCCCTTTCTCGACCGCCACACCAACGCGGCCGACGGGGGCTACACATGCCGCGGGTGCGATGCTGCCATCCAGAAGCTGTATGGCCATCTCAAGGTGAATCTCGTCTACATGAACACCGTGTTTGCGACCGAGGCGGCTTTTTTCAAACACTTTGCCGCCTGCCCCGACGCCATCGAAATGTGGAAAACGCAAAGCGAAGCCTAGACGAAGCACAGACTCGAGATGCAAGGGACGTAGGGCAGATATGACAGCCGGGGAGTTGCGTGCAGGATAGCAAAACTTTTGGAAACAATGGAAGCACAAGACCATAAATATGTAGCAAACAAAATAGATGCACTTTTTAACGGCTGGATTAACGTTGTAATTTTCACACCAAAGTCCCTTTACGCCGGACATTCCGTACAATACAACTCAGACACATTGCCGTGTCGTATAGACACGCCCCTGGGCCCTCATGCCCGGTTGCCCCGCCGGCCCTCGGACGCAGCCGACGAGACGCTGCTCTCGTTCGCCAGCGGCGACGGAATGTCGGGCGTAACAGAGCGCGAGTCGGACGTCACAGCCGGCCGACGCGGCCCCGAGACGGACGACTTCTTTCGTCGCCGCTCCGACGCGCTCGATCCCGTGCTCGTCTTGCGCGTGACCACCGACTCGCCCGTGTCGTCGACATCCAGTGTGGGCGTCGCACTGCGCGAGCTTGTAGTCTGTGTCCCGCCGCTGCCGCCGCTGCCGCCGCCACCGCCACCGCCACCACCGACAGGCACTGCTGTCATGGACATGCTGCTCCGACGCGAGCTGTTGCTGCGCGTCCGGCGGTGCTCGCGCTCCACGGCCGCGTGCCGCGGGTGCTGCGGGTGGTGGCCGTGCTTCTCGCCGGTGCCAGCGGCGCCGGTTTCGCTGCCACCGCGGGGCGTGTGCGGCCGGTGCGGGTGGTGGTGGTGATGGTGGAGGTGGCCGTGCGGCACGCCGCGGCCGGGCAGCCACCAGAACCAGCCGCCGGTCGCACGACGCAGGGCACGGTCCTGCTCCTTGAGCTTCTGGCGCACGAGGGCGCGGCGCTCGTTTTCGCGGTCCCAGTACTCTTGGCGGTACAGCTCCCAGTTCTCGCGGAAGGTGGGCGAAAAGGGCTTGGCAAGGAGCAGCAGTTTGACATAGTCGCCGCCGGGCGCCAGATCCTCTTCGTGTCCGTTGTTGTTGTTGCTGCCGCCGGTGTGGCCAAACGCGGTGCCCTGCCGGCGGAGGCCGCTGCCGCCCTTTTCTTCGTCGCGATCGAGCCCGACCGACGACGACGGCACCGACGGGTGGTTGTGCCCGCCGGCCGCGCCCGTGTTCAGGTTGAGCTCGCGGTCGACCTCGCGCAGCAGCGCCGGCTCCACGTAGCGGTACGACGAGGCGCCGCCCGAGTTGGACAGCAGGCCGTAGGTCAGGAACCAGCCGAGCGTCGCCAGCCATTCGGCCCACCACGGCCGCTTGAGCAGCACCAGTTTGCAGTTGATGTGGCGCAGGCCGCGGTTCGACACGCTGAACCAGCGGCGCGGCCAGCGCACGCCGCGGTCCCAGATGCCGGTGGCCCAGACGAGGGCGGCCGTGATGATGCCGCCCATAAAGCACACCTTTTCGAGCACGTCGACGACCCAGTAGACAGAGCCGCCGACGCCGCTACCGTCCTCGCGCGGAGCCAGGAACAGCGCATAGCCGAAGCCCAGGTTCCAGGTGCCCAGAATCAGCAGGAAAAACGTGTGGTGGCGGCGGCGGGCCCGCAGGGCCAGGTATTGCGCACGAAGCGACGCCTCGAGGATGAGCAGGTTGAGGTAGATCATGGACGGCGAGCTGGGCGTGTGCGACAGCGGGTCGCTGGCCTTGGCGCCGGTGCTGGCGGCGATGGAGCCCGTGTCCGAGCCTCCGTCGGAGCCATTGCCGCCGGCATCGCTGCCAAACACGCCGCTGGTCGGTCGGGTGGCGGGTATGTCGCGTCCAGGCAAAGGCGCTCCCTTGACGAGGGAGTCAAGGTCGTCGGCCATTGTTGCGATGCACACGTGGGAAAGGAAGGAAAATGGGCAAGATCGGAGGCCCCACGGTCGCGTCTGATCGTGAGGCAACCCAGAAACACGTGTAGCGTCGTCGTCGAGAATGTAGTGGAAGCACACCAACAGGTGGTGTAGTCAAAAAAGGGCCGGTGGTGCCAAAGGGCGGCTTGGCGGCAGTGGCCCTGTGGCAGTCGGTGTGCGCACGATCCGCGAGGCGTCGATTGCCGCCGTCAATGTCAAATGCCGAAATAGAGCTCCCAATGCTGTGGAGGAACCGGCGTCGAAGGCACGCCAACGGGATGGTCTGCACGTTGGGCCAGGGTCCGTGTGTACTTTCGTGCGTCGCAGGTAGCTGATGTTCAGTGGCCGTTGTTCCTGCTGGCGATCATCGTCATCCAAATGCTCGTGTCAGATGACTAAGCGGAGCTAGTGGGTCACGAGGACAAAAGGACGGGCACATTGCGCGGCAGGCGCGACGGCGGCACGGGGCCAACATGAGCGGCTTAACAGCATGATTAGAATGTCCACGGACAATACATTGGCTCAGGAATGGAGGGGCATGGTCGTGGAATCACCTTGCGCTCAATGGAATATATTGAGATTTTGAAGCGTCGAGTGGTTGTTTGGCGGTTCGCATGTGTACTATGACATAGTTAAAGGGAGCCTTAATTACAGGGGGAGAAAGCAATACATTTAGCGAGCCTTATAACGCTTTTTGCCGAAGTACAGCACTTGCCTGTGGGCTGCCAGCTGTAGAAAGTGTCTCTCAGGGCCGTCCTCTAGCGGCTTTTTGTTAAGGTGACCCCTAAAGCCTCGGCTCTGGCGTACTTCTCAACCCTCAGCAAGCGCGGCGGAAAAGTGGAGTGTCCTGTTTCCGTGGTCGAGAATTCCCGACTATAGCCAAGTGGTCATTCGCGCCTTCCGCCACAAGACCAGGCACGTTGCTGGATCCTTACGGGCGCTTTCCCTTTTTTTCTACTCCACGACGTACTATTTTTTTGTTGGGAAGGATGTCGCGCGCAAATAGAAGGGGCAAGGGAAAGCACGGGAAAAGGCCAGGAGCGACGGCAGCGGAAAACGACGTAAAAATAATTAAATAAACACGACGGGCAGGAGCGAACGGCTCAGTCGACAGGCACGCCCGAATAAATCCTCACATCCTGCCATCTCTTTCCTTCCTGACAGCCCGCTCCTTCCTTCCCCCACACTACCGATTCTTAAAGTAACTTCGCGAACAAAAGGAGAAAGAACGAAGGACCAGGTTCCCCTGAAAAGATCACGAAACATCGCCGTCGACAAAAGTCACCTAAAACGTCCTCATCTTCACAATCAATTGACCGTTCTTCTCCAACACCAACGCACTCACAGACATCCACACCACTCCTGGCAACGCCTGCCTAGCCGGCAACCCCGACGGACAAACGCCGTGCTATGCATACCCTCTGCTGCCTGAGCTGCGTCGGCGAATCGTGACACGGAATTAGGATTTTACGGGCTATAGCGTCCCCTAATTCCCCGTTCAAGCCTTTCCAGACTTTCCAGCCTCTCCGCTTTGTTGCTGCAAGCCCCGTTTGGCCGCCGCCCTTGGGCCCTTAATAACCCTTCCCCTCCCTTTCCGCCCGTCCTCCTTCCAGCTTCGCCCCCCTGCCGACGCCAGTGATGCTCCGAAGTCCTCAGCACCTCGTCTTGCAGCTGTCCGTCGCACCCAGTCGACGCACATTGACCACTGCCGCTGCATCGTACAACTCCGAAAAGTCTCCACCTCCACCGCCGCCGCCGCCGCCGTCTTCGCGCTCCTCTCATAGTCACGCGCAGTCGCGCGCGTCCGCCACTTCTTCGAGCGCGCCAGCAACCCCCGCCGCTGCTGCAACCGTCCGTGTCTTCCGCCTCACCTCCGAACCCAACGTTGCGGCACGCAACAACCGCCGGTCCGCCATGGCCAGTCAGCCCCAGACACAGCCGCGCTCGCGGTCTGAGGAGCGGCCTGCATCGGAGGCCGATGGCGACCACGCCGAGGCCGCGCGGCAGACGCGCACAGCGTCCCGGTTCACTTCCTACTTTCCTCTCGGCTACCGGGATGCTGTGCACCAATGGGTGAGTTTTTTTGTTGTTGTTATTCTCGCCACTCCACTGCTAACAATATCAGTGGCACAGTGTCTCGGCATCCGGGGCCGAACGCGGTGTGTTGGCCTATGTACCATTTATCCGCGAGGCCAAGCTCGGCTCGCAACCCGACCTCAGCATGAACGCCCAGCAGCAACAGGCCGGCGGGGCCGCCCTCTCGGCCATCAACAGCGCCAACAGCGAGGACCCGTACGGCCCCCGTCTCTGGCGGTCACAAATGGTGCCGCTGTCCGGAAAGAACCGTGCGCTCAACGAGTTCTCCATCGAGCGCGTCGGCGAGAAGCACGAGGAGACTCTGGTGATGCTGCACGGCTACGGCGCTGGCCTCGGGTTCTTCTACCGCAACTTTGAGCCCTTGAGCCGGCGGCAGGGCTGGAAGCTGTACGCGCTCGACATGCTGGGGATGGGCAACTCGTCGCGCCCGCCATTCAAGGTGCGCGCCAAGGACCCGCAGGCCAAGATCACCGAGGCCGAGAGCTGGTTCATCGACTCACTCGAGGAGTGGCGCAAGATCCGCAAGATTGAGCGTTTCACGCTCATGGGCCACTCGATGGGCGGCTACCTGGCCGTCTCCTACGCGCTCAAGTACCCCGGCCACCTCAACAAGCTGATCCTCGCGTCTCCCGTCGGCGTGCCCGAGGATCCGTACGCGGTCAACGCGGCGATGCCCGAACCCGATGAGTCGACGCTCGTCAACGAATTTACACAAGATCAGAGTGCTGTTGCCGAGGGCAGCAGCCCGGCCAACGCGACCACGACGACCACTACGGCCACCCCGTCCTCCAACCACAACTACACCTATAACCACAACCACCAAAACAAAAAGACGACGTCGACCAAACCAGAACGCCGGCCGTTGCCGGGCTGGCTTGTGTGGCTCTGGGACGCCAATGTATCGCCCTTTAGTCTGGTGCGCGCGTCGGGCCCGCTGGGCCCGCGTCTGGTGTCTGGCTGGACGTCGCGGCGGTTTAGCCATTTGGAGCAGGACGAGGCGGACGCGCTGCACACGTACACGTACAACCTGTTCCGGCAGCGCGGCAGCGGCGAGTACGCGTTGCCGTACCTGCTGGCGCCCGGCGCGTACGCGCGCAGCCCTGTGATCAACCGCATCCAGAACGTGGGCCGGCAGGTGGTGACGCCCGCCCGGCCGGCGACGGCAACGACGCCGGCGACGCCGGAAGTGAAGGAGACGGGCTTCCCGATTGTCATGATGTACGGCGACCACGACTGGATGGACGTGGCGGGCGGGTACGCGGCCGAAGAAAAGATCAAGCAGCGGATCGTGCAGGCGCTGCTGCACGGGACGCCCGACGAGAAGCGACGCGAGAACGGCAGCGCCAAGGTGCTGATTGTGCGCAACGCGGGCCACCACCTGTACCTGGACAACCCGGACGAGTTTAACCGGTTCATTGACGACGAGCTGGCGGAGACGCAAAAGTCGGAGAAGCGGCGACGGCAGCAGTTGGAGGAGGGAGCAGCTGCACCATAAACACCACAAAAACGAGGAGCGATGCATTGCGATGACCAAAAATACAGACACAGACACATACAACCAAGGAGCGGCGTTTTACCTTTTGGATTTTTTTTTTTTTTTCTGTCACGCATAGGAGCTTCTTTGTTTTCATTTTCATTCATCTTCTTGGGAAACACTATATATATTTTATTCACAAGATTTCATTGTCTACGTTGCGACCATGGGGCAACGACAAACCGTCACGGAGGAGGACAGGACAAAACAGCATTACGCATTGCGTTGTGCGCCGCCAGCATAGGGCATGGAGCATAGGGTATAGATTCGCGAGGTACAGGACCCATCTACGGAATGCCGAAGACGGAAGACGGAAGACCGAGACACAAGGGTGAAGAAAGGGCATTCAGATAGTGTTTCAACAGCATCACATAGGAGCAACAAAAGAGGCGTTCAATGCTTGTCATGGCTAGACAAGTTTGTACCTTTGTACAATGCACTCTCAATCTAGTCCTTGACTGTCCTCGCGTTGTTTATGCCGCACTGTTTCAAAACGATCTCGATTGCGTACGAGTTGGGTGCTCTTCTCTTTCGAGAGGGTATCTAGGCTTTGTTGTAAAGGAATGGAAGAATTTTTAATAAAAGGCGGGAGAACCAGTGTCAAAATGCAAGTGAAATGCAACCGGTACCACCAGCGTGCACAAAAGTATAAAACCCAGAAACCAGTGACCCACGGGGAGATGTCCCTTTCCCCAAGACGGCCATACATCAACGAGAGCAAAGCAAATTAAAATAAAGTCAAAATCAAAATCAAAATCAAAATCAAAATCAAATCAAGCCAAAACATTGCCACCTTCTCCATCTCCCTCCGATATTAATTGCGCAACCAGAATCACAAGACGCTCGCCTTCTTCTCACAAAAACAAAAAGGTATGAATCAAACGCTCTCCTGTCTCCAACGTATGTACCCTCGCATCCTAGATGAATTTGTGAATTTTTGTCGTTTTTTGTCGATTTTGTTTATTTTTTGTCTTGTCCTCGCTTCGCTCGCCAGTGGAGAAGATAACACCAACTACTCGCTTGCTGGTTTATCATTTTCGTAAAAAAGGGGGTCCGCTTGTTCAGATGCAAAAATAGACATTAAGGAGTGACGTGAGGATACGCTGTGAATAAAACGATCAAGACCAAGTAAAAATCAAAATCATATCCCCTACAACAAGAAGACTACCGCACAGAACGCGGCCAGAGCCGACGTCACGCCTGCGGCGACGCCCATCCGCGACGAGGCGTTGACGGTGACAACGGACGGGGTCGACGAAGCCGTGGTGACGTGTGAGGGAACAGTGCCGTTGCCCGAGCCCGATCCCGAGCCCGAACCACCCGAGCCGCCTGATCCACCCGA